CCACAGAGTTTGTGGGATCTTGTTTCTAGTCTGTAGTGTTAGACCGTGAACTGTCACGTTTTCGTTTTGTCGTTTTTGATCGTGTCTCTAATAAAGAGTATGTTTGCCTGCAACGCTGCGCCTTGGTCCTCATCTCTGTTCGACGATCGTGACATTCACCTGTGTGTTTTGTTTTCCCCAGTGCGCCGTTAAGCCGCACTGTAGTTGTTTTACGCATTGCTGCAAACCGCTGTATTGGCAGAATAAACCATTATTCTGTGATTTACACCTCCTGCGTCTGACTCCGTCCAAATCACCCGCTACAGAATCACACACCCAACAGTATGGAATCAGTGGAGAATGTGCCATGAGTTGTTGAGCGGGTCCGGGAGCATTCCAACATGTTAGCCAGCTTGGGCGAAGCGATGGATCGGGTTCTCCAGGTCGTCCAGCGCCTGGAGAGGAGAGGACCCAACCCTGCGGAACCAGCTGAGCGACCGGATCCAGCCACCCACACCCCAGCACCCAGAGGTATTCACTTGTCTCGACCGAGGGAATACGACGGGACAGCGGCCCGCTGCCAGGGTTTCCTCCTGCAGCTGGACCTCTATTTCACCATAATCAGCCCGGCTCCATCGGATCGGGAGAAGGTGTCCGCCCTCGTCTCCTGCCTCTCGGGGAAAGCCCTGGAGTGGGCCAACGCGGTCTGGAGTGAAGGAGGAGACGCATTGGACAACTACGGAGAGTTCGCTTGCCTCTTCCGGGCAGTCTTCAATCATCCCCCGAAGGAAGAGAGGCGGGCGAGCGTCTAGTCAATCTGAGGCAGGGGACGAGGACCGCGCAAGACTTTGACCTGGAGTTTAGAACTCTAGCAGCTGGGTCCAGGTGGAACGAGCGGGCCCTCATCGACCACTTCCGATGCAGCCTGCATGAGGACGTCCGAAGGGAGCTAGCCTACCGGGATACCACGTTGACCTTCAACCAACTGGTGGACATGGCCATCCAGTTGGACAACCTGCTGGCTTCGAGAGGACGTCCTGGAAGGGGCCTGCCCGTTTCACCCCCCTTCAACCCAGATCACAGGTGGTGCAGCGATCCGGGAGAACGGAGAATGACAGATTCAGTGTCACTCTTGTGGCAAAAGAGGACATTCTGCTGCATGAAGTCGTCAGAGTTCTTCTGGTTCTGGAGGCGGCAGGCAGGGCACTCTCGTGTCACCCTAGGTAGCACAAACCCACACTCGTTCAGAGCCCACTGCTGTGCATTTCACCATCCATGTCAACTTCCCTGATTACACGGTAGTTCCCCAGTGTAAGGCGCTGGTAGATTCATGCGCAGCTGGGAACTTTATGGACAGGTCTTTAGCTCTTAGTTTACGAATTACATTGGTTCCGCTGTCCATTCCATTGCCCATCAAAGCACTTGACAGTCGACCATTAGGGTCAGGTTTTGTTAGGGAGGTTACAGCACCAGTCACTATGATTACACAGGAGACCCATGGGGAGCAATTCACCTTTCATATTGAGTCCCCTGATTTCCCTGTTGTGTTGGGCCTTCCCTGGCTAGTACTACACGACCCCACCTTTTCATGGCCGCAGAGGGTTCTCACGGGGTGGTCGCAAGAGTGTCAGGGTAGGTGTCTAGCTGTTTCCGTTGGTGCGACCATGGTGGAAAGTCCAGACACTACCTCCACAGTGCGCATTCACACCGAATACCTCGACTTGGCCCATCGGGCGGGGGGTTGCGCAATAAACCTCCGGTTAGACGCTGTGCCTCCCAGGAGTCATGTATATCCCCTGTCGCAGGCTGAAATTGAGGCTATAGAGACATACGTCTCCGAGTCCCTGCGTCAGGGGTTCATACATACCTCCACTTCACCCGCCTCCTCAAGTTTCTTTTTCGTGAAGAAGAAAGACGGGGGTCTGCGCCCTTGCATTGATTACCGTGCACTTAATCAAACTACCATTCGCTATAGTTACCCTCTACCCCTCATCTCCTCTGTTATCAAATCAATGCATGGGGCATGCTTCTTCACGAAATTAGATCTCAGGAGTGCGTACAAACTGGTGCGTGTCCGGGAAGGGGACGAGTGGAAGACAGCATTTGAAAACCTGGTGATGCCGTACGGGTTGATGAATGCTCCATCAGTCTTCCAGTCCTTTGTGAATGAGGTGTTTCGGGACATGCTTGGTCGCAGTGTGGTGGTCTACATCGATGACATCCTGGTGTATTCCGCTACGCGCACCGAGCATGTGTCCCTGGTTCGCAGAGTGCTGGGCCGACTGTTGGAGCATGACCTGTATGCCAAGTCTGTTCTTCCAACAATCCGTCTCCTTCCTTGGATACCACATCACCACCTCAGGTGTGGAGAGGGAGGGAGACCGTATTTCAGCCATGCGTAATTGGCCGACTCCAACCATGGTAAAGGAGGTGCAGCGCTTCATTGGCTTTGCCAATTACTATCGGAGGTTTATCCGGGGCTTTGGCAAGGTCGCAGCTCCCATCACCTCTCTGTTGAAGGGTGGGCCGTCCCTGCTCCGCTGGTCTGCTGAGGCTGACAGGGCTTTCAGTAACCTGAGGGCTCTGTTCACCTCAGCCCCGGTACTGGCCCATCCTGATCCATCATTGCCGTTCGTAGTGGAGATGGATGCGTCCGAGGTAGGGGTAGGTGCTGGCCTATCCCAACGCTCGGGCACGCCACCCAAGCTCCGCCCCTGTGCCTTCTTCTCTAAGAAGCTCAGCCCGGCAGAGCAGAACTATGCCGTTGGTGATCGGGAGCTGTTGGCTGTTGTCAGAGCCCTGACAGCTTGGAGGCACTGGCTCCAGGGGGCGAAACACCCTTTCCTCGTCTGGACTGACCACCGTAACCTGGAGTACATCCGGGCAGCGAGGAGGCTGAATCCTTGCGGTTTGATTTCACGCTGTCCTATATACCAGGCACAAAGAACATGAAGGCAGACGCACTGTCACGGCTGTACGACACAGAGGAGAGGCCCATAGACAACACCCCCATACTCCCGGCCTCCTGCATTGTGGCGCCGGTGGTGTGGGTGGTGGACGTGGACATAGAGCAGGCATAATGCACAGAGCCATTTCCACCTCAGTGCCAAGCTGGGCTGCGGTACGTGTCGTCTAGTGTCCGTGATCATCTTATCTATTGGGCAAACAGGTCCCCCTTCTCTGGTCACCCAGGCATCGGCCGTACAGTGCGCTGCCTGACCGGGAAGTACTGGTGGCCTACCTTGGCTAAGGACGTGAGGGTGTATGTCTCCTCCTGCTCGGTGTGCGCCCAGAGTAAGGCACCTAGGCACCTTCCAGTGGGTAAGTTACATCCCTTACCAGTTGGGGCCATTGTCCCACTTATCAATTGACTTTCTAACTGATCTTCCCCTCTCTCAAGGTAACACCACCATCCTGGTCATTGTGGACCGCTTCTCTAAAGCCTGCCGCCTCCTTCCTGCCGCCTCCTTCCTCTGCACGGCCCTGCAAACTGCGGAAGCCCTGTTTACTCACGTCTTCCTGCACTATGGGGTGCCAGAGGACATAGTGTCTGACCGGGGTCCCCAGTTTATGTCTAGGGTCTGGAAGGCGTTCATGGAACGTCTGGGGGTGTCGGTCAGCCTGACCTCTGGGTTTCACCCCAAATCTAATGGGCAGGTGGAACGGGTGAATCAGGATGTGGGTAGGTTCCTGCAGTCCTACTGCCAGGACCGGCCGGGGGAGTGGTCGGTGTTCTTGCCATGGGCCGAATATGCCCAGAACTCTCTCCGCCACTCCTCCACTAACCTATCAACATTTCAATGTGTTTTAGGGTATCAGCCAGTCCTGGCACCATGGCATCAGAGCCAGACCGAGGCTCCTGCGGCGGACGACTGGTTTCGGCGCGCAGAGGAGACGTGGAACGCCGCCGACGTCCATCTCCAGCACGCCGTGCGTCACCAGAAAGCCAACGCTGACCGCCACCGCAGTGAGGCCCCGGTCTTTGTACCGGGTGATCGGGTCTGGCTCTCGACCCGGAACCTGCCCCTCCTCCTGCCCTGCCGGAAGCTGAGCCAGCGGTTTGTGGGGCCGTTCAAAGTCCTGAGGAGAGTTAACAAGGTTACGTATAGGTTGCTGCTCCCTCCTGATTACCGTATTAACCCCTCATTTCACGTATCTCCCCTCAGGCCAGTGGTGGCTGGTCCAAACCAGGAGTCTGAGGTGCGGGAGGTCCCTCCGCCCCCTCTGGACATCGAGGGGGCCCCGGCATACTCCGTCCGTTCCATCCTGGATTCGAGGCGTCGGGTGGGGGGCTTTCAGTACCTTGTGGAGTGGGAGGGGTACGGTCCGGAGGAGCGGTGCTGGGTCCCGGTGAAGGATGTCCTCGAACCCTTCCTGTTGTGGCATTTCCACCGTCGCCATCTGGCTCGTCCTGCTCCGCGTCCTCCTGGCCGTCCCTGAGGCCGGTGTCGGCACGCTGCTGGAGCTGCGCGTCAAGGGGGGGGGGGGGTACAGTCACGACTTCCTCCGAAGCTGCCTCCTCTCCTTGTTCGGGCAGGCTTCAGCGTTCGTCATCACCGGCCTTCTAGCCACTGCCGCTTCTCATCTCATCATTCCATTTGTTTTGTCTTGTTTTTACACACACCTGGTTCATATCCCCTCATCAGTCCCTGTATAAGTATTCCCTCTGCCCCCCATGTCTTTGTGTGTGATTGTTTCCATGTGGACGTGTCGATAGCTCGGTGGATCTTTATGTACTTTATCACCGGGAAATTCACCTGTGTGTTTTGTTTTCCCCAGTGCGCCGTTAAGCCGCACTGTAGTTGTTTTACGCATTGCTGCGAACCGCTGTATTGGCAGAATAACCATTGTTCTGTGATTTACACCTCCGTCCAAATCACCCTCTATACATACCCAGAGGGCAAAGGATTTAGAGGTTAGTTATGGGTCGCCACTACTTATCAGTTACTCACAATACACTCATAGCCATTGCAAAACAGTCTGGGAATTGTTAACAGATTACTTCAAATGTTTTCAAGAAACTACTGGAGGGTGTGTGTTGTACTTACGGAGAGAGCTTTGCCTCCAGCCACAGGTTGGAAATAGATCTTGTAGTTCTGGACGGGGCCTGGGGCATGGTCCCACTTCACTGTCAGAGTGACCGTGGTCGCATTGAACACCTGCAAGTTCTGCGGAGGTCCAGTGGGAGCTAGGAACACATTACAATCAATACACTGACCCAAGACAGTGGTGGTTTATATAAAATGGCTGCAGGGCACATTAGACAGCCTTTACCAATCCTCCATGATCACATGGGGTTCAGGAGGCTGGATGAAGCAATGATGATGAGGATAGGGGGTGAGATGATGAGAACACGTGATTTGGTGACGAGAACACATGATTTAGTGATGAAGTACATTTAAACGACACGATGGAGAGTGAAGCAGCCAGTAAGGTTACTGTACTATATGGCACATGCATTTCCAATGATGGGGATATTGATGAGGAATGACATTGTGACATGATGAGGATTGACATTAACGACACGAGGAACGACAATGTTATGACATGAAAAATGACATTAATTAAATGACATGAGAAATGATATTATGACAAATGGTTGACAATAAGGTGTCTGTGGTGGAACGTTCGGCCGCTGCCGGGTCAGTAGTCACACGTTTGCATTTGCTGCTCTTTCAAGGCACAGCAATGCACATGCAGATTTATTTTATAAAAGTGTGTTTTCCATCAACAACACTTTAATTATTGTTCGCATTACCATTATAATCATAATCATGAACATTACAACAACAATGTCCTTCTACGTTTCAAATAACATACCAGGTGTAGTCATCTTTAACACTGGAAAAAGAAAACGTTAAGAGAACAACAGGGGAAGAACAAGGTTATTTCAATACGCTGTGGACCACATCTGTGGTCTAAATTTAAAACATGAATGTAATTGATAGGAGGATGAGAGAGGAGAAGAACAGAAGGGTGAACCTACATGTGCGCTGGCTGCCAATCAGGTCCTCGCTCTCTGACTCGTCTGGGTAGATGGCCGTGACGGTGACATCATACAGGGTGTCCGGGTCCAGGTTCTCCAGATTATGTGACGTTTCATCACTGTTCAGGATAGCCTGGAGAGATGGATGGAGAGAGAGCGGGGGAACAGGTAGAGGGGGACAGCGAAAGAGAGAGAGTGGTGGGCAGAACAAGACGAAGAGAGAGGGAGACGGAAAGAGAGGGAGAGATAGAGAGGGAGACAGAGAGAGGGAGACAGAGAGAGAGGGAGAGATAGAGAGGGAGAGAGGGAGACAGAGAGAGGGAGACAGAGAGAGAGGGAGAGAGGGAGAGATAGAGAGCATAAACGGTCCCAGTCCACTCTATAGCAGTAAATAGACCAGAATCACCAATCACCATCGGCTGGAGTAGATCAACATACATATTGGAAGTTGTTCTCTCCCTTCTTGGTCCAGCCGATTCGGTAGAGGGCCACGTCTGGGGCCCCGTGTTCCCATGTGGCCCTGAATGAGGTCTGGGTCACCTCGGACAACTTCAGGTTCTGCGGGGCAGGAACAACATCTGTACACATGGACGGAGATGTGAGAGAGGGAGACGTGATTATTATGAGGAAGTCCTGAGAGATGAGGCAAGGCCATTTCATTCGTCAGAGGGGCTGTGAACCATGTGAGGAACGTTTTAGCTGTGAGTCCATTTTATAGATCAATGGCCAACAAACAGGTTTTGTGTGTGTGTGTGTGTGTGTGTGTGTGTGTGTGTGTGTGTGTGTGAGTGTGAGTGTGAGTGTGAGTGTGAGTGTGAGTGTGAGTGTGAGTGTGTGTGTGTGTGTGTGTGTGTGTGTGTGTGTGTGTGTGTGTGTGTGTGTGTGTGCGTATATGTGTGTGTGTGTGTGTGTGTGGAAAACAACATTTCCTCAAATCATCTGGGATTAATGATGAACAAGGCCCCATGCAGTGAGCGATAGCAGACTCGCACACAAACACACAAAGTTTGTAGGCCCATATACAATTAACTAGACTCACACACACACACACACACATACATACATACAGCCTCAGAGAACAGTGACTTGATGTTTGGGCTTAATCTAGAAAGACGAATGACTGAGGAAGAGGCTAAATCCAAGGAGGGCCTGCAGACTCAACTCTCACCATCCAGACACACTCATACAGTGGGTATAGAAAGTCACCACCCCCTTTCAAAGTGTTCACCTTTTGTTGCCTTACAGCCTGAAATGAAAACACATCAAATTAGACTTTTTCCGGCTTTATTTACTTAGAATTGCAATTGCAAACTTGCTGAGGTATAACCAGTCACCCTTCCAGATCACAAATCAAGCTAATTGGCTTCCATCTGTGATAAATTGTAGTGACTTTGATTAGTTCCGAATAAAAGCAGTTGTTCATAGAGGACTCCACTGCTTAGTAGTGCAATTCAATGCAAAGAATCCACTATGGACGGAAAGGTACTTTCAAATGATCTACGAGATAAAGGGGATGGATATACAAATATTTCAAAGGCTTTGCCTATCCCTCGGATCACAGTTAAGACCATTATTAAGAAGTGGAAGGCGTATGGCCCCACCCAGACCCTGCATAGATCAGGCCGTCCCTCCAAACTGGATGACCGGGCAAGGAGGAGACTGATCAGAGAGGCTACCAAGAAGCCAATGGCGACATTGAAGGAGCTTCAGGCCTTTATGGCAAAGACTGGTCAATGTGTGTATGTGACCACAATATCACAAGCGCTCCACAAATCTGGCCTCTATGGGAGGGTGGCAAGAAAAAAACCACTCCTCAAAAAAAGCCACATCAAGTCTCGTTTGAGCTTTGCCAAAAAGCACATTGTAGATTCCGAGGCCAAGTGGCAAAAGGTGCTGTGGTCAGATGAGACCAAAATTTAACTTTTTGGCCTGAACGCAAAACGATATGTCTGGCGAAAACCCATTACATCTTTCCACCCGAAGAACACCATGCCTACAGTAAAGCACGGTGGTGGCAGCATCCTGTTGTGGGGGTGTTTCTTTTCAGCAGGGCCTGGAGCACTTGTCAGGATAGAAGGGAAAATGGACAATGCAAAATACCAACAGATTCTTGAGGAGAACCTGCAGCCCTCTGCCAGGAAGTTGAAAATGGGAAGATGGTTCACGTTTCAACATGACAATGACCCAAAGCACACCGCCAAAGCAACCGTACAGTGGCTGAAGGACAAGAAGGTGAATGTCCTTGAGTGGCCTAGTCAGAGCCCCGACCTAAATCCCATCGAATCTGTGGAATGACTTGAAGAGTGCAGTCCATGAGCGGTCACCATGCAATTTGACTGAGCTTGAACAATTCTGCAAGGAAGAATGTGCAAATATTGCACAGACTACATGTGCAAAGTTAGTAAAGACGTATTCAAAGAGACTCATGGCTGTAATTCAAGCAAAAGGTGGTTCCACCAAGTATTAACTCAGGGGGGTGTGCACTTATCCAAATAGGGTATTTTACTGTTTTACTTTAAATTAATTTTCAGAGTTTTTTAGATAATTTTTTTTCACTTGGATATTGTGGGTTACTACTGTGTGTAAATAAAGCCGGAAAAAGTCTGATTTTATGTGTTTTCATTTCAGGCTGTAAGGCAACAAAAGGTGAACATTTTGAAAGGGGGTGGTGACTTTCTATACCCACTGTATATCTAGTCTACAGCTCATCAGCCAAATGATAAATCACACAAACGGTTGTTTACCTGTAATGGCTTGTCCAAGCATTGGGTTTCCAACACCTGCGTCGTAAACTGGGGTGACAGCAACATCGTACTCAGATTGAGAGATGAGGTTGGCAAGAGGCAGGGATGTTATATCGCCATTGACTTCAACCTGGCAGAAAGGAGATATAAGGATAATGATTTTAGGAACAACAAACAATTAACAATATTATTTTTGCTGAAGAACTAGCATGAACTAGCACTACTAACATGAACATACAGTTGAAGTTGGAAGTTTACATACACTTAGGTTGGAGTCATTAAAACTATTTTTTCAACCACTCCACTAATTTCTTGTTAACAAACTAAAGTTTTGGCAAGTAGGTTAGGACATCTACTTTGTGCATGACACAAGTAATTTTGACACACAATTCCAGTGGGTCAGAAGTTTACATACACTAAGTTGACTGTGCCTTTAAACAGCTTGGAAAATTCCAGAAAATGATGTCATGGCTTTAGCAGCTTCTGATAGGCTAATTGACATAATTTGAGTCAAGTGGAGGTGTACCTGTGGATGTATTTAAAGGCTTACCTTCAAACTCAGTGCCTCTTTGCTTGATATAATGGGAAAATCAAAAGAAATCAGCCAAGTCATACCGCTCAGGAAGGAGACGCGTTCTGTCTCCTAGAGATTAACATACTTTGGTGCGAAAAGTGCAAATCAATCCCAGAACAACAGCAAAGGACCTTGTGAAGATGCTGGAGGAAACAGGTACAAATGTATCTATATCCACAGTAAAACGAGTCCTATATCGACATAACCTGAAAGGCCGCTCAGCAAGGAAGAAGCCACTGCTCCAAAACCGACATAAAAAAGCCAGACGGCAACTGCACATGGGGACAAAGATCGTACTTTTTGGAGAAATGTCCTCCGGTCTGATGAAACAAAAATATAACTGTTTGGCCATAATGACCATTGTTATGTTTGGAGGAAAAAGGGGGTTCCTTGGAAGCCGAAGAAAACCATCCCAACCGTGAAGCACAGGGGTGGCAGCATCATGCTGTGGGGGTGCTTTGCTGCAGGAGGGACTGGTGCACTTCACAAAATAGATGGCAACATGAGGAAGGAAAATTATGTGGATATATTGAAGCAACATCTCAAGACATTAGTCAGGAAGTTAAAGCTTGGTCGCAAATGTGTCTTCCAAATGGACAATGACCCCAAGCATACTTCCAAAGTTGTGGGAAAATGGCTTAAGGACAACAAAGTCAAGGTATTGGAGTGGCCATCTCAAAGCCCTGACCTCAATACTATAGAAAATGTGTGGGTAGAACTGAAAAAGCGTGTGCGAGCAAGGAGGCCTACAAACCTGACTCAGTTACACCAGCTCTGTCAGGAGGAATGGGCCAAAATTCACCCAACTTATTGAGGGAAGCTTGTGGAAGGCTACCCGAAATGTTTGACCCAAGTTAAACAATTTAAAGGTAATGCAACCAAATACTAATTGAGTGTATTTAAACTTCTGACCCACTGGGAATGTGATGAAAGAAATAAAAGCTGAAATAAATCATTCTCTCTACTATTATTCTGACATTTCACATTCTTAAATAAAGTGTGATCCTAAATGAACCTAAAACCAGGGAATTTTGTACGAGGATGAATGTCAGGAATTGTGAAAAAACTGAGTTTAACTGTATTTGGCTAAGGTGTAATGTAACCGTCCCGACTACAACAACTGTAAACTATTATTTGTGGTATTAATTATAGCATTTACAACAAATCTTGAACAACTGTAGCCATTTGAACATTGATGTTAACCAATAAAACGTTAGGAGTTGTTGGGTGCTGGGGTGTTGGGGGGGGTGGGGCGTGTTGGGGGGGGGTGCCTGGGGTTGCTGGGGGCTGGGGTGTGCTGGGGGTGTTGGGGGGGTGCTGGGGAGTTGGGGGGAGGGGGGGGGGGTGCTGGGGTATTGGGGTGTTGGGGGTGGGGTGGGTTGTGGGGGTGGGGTGTTTGGGGTGCTTGGGATGTTGGGGTTTGGGTGTTGGGGGGCTGGGTGTTTGGGGGGTGCTGGGGGGGGTGTTGGGGTGGCTGGGGTGTTGGGGGGGTGCTGGGGAGGCGGGGTGTTGGGGGTGGGGTGTTTGGGGGGTGCGTGGGGTGTTGGGGGTGTTGGGGTGGGGGGTTTTGGGGGTGCTGTGGTGCTGGGGTGTTGGGGTGTTGGGGGGGGTGCTGGGGTGCTGGGGCGCTGGGGCGTTGGGGGGGTGCTGGAGTGCTGGGGTGCTGGTGTGTTGGGGTGCTGGGGTGTTGGAGTGCTGGGGTGTTGGGGTGCTGGGGTGCTGGGGTGTTGGGGGGGGGTGTTGGGGTGTTGGGGTGCTGGGATGTTGGGGTGCTGGGGTGTTGGGGGGGTGTTGGGGTGTTGGGCTGCTGCTGGGGTGCTGGGTGCTGGGGCCAGGGTCTTCTCTGACTGCCAGTAGGCTTCTTTCACCATGTCATCCTGGCCTAGCCTGCCCATGGAGTCAAGATCCCAGTCTACTGAAAGGTTCTGCTACTATAACACCCCGTGACATCAATGACTTGTGACTTTCCCTTAATAAACGCTGTCCCCTATTTAGGGGACTTTGAGCGGTTCTGGACCGTTTCCGACCAACATTTTTGTGTACAGAGCGCTCAGTGAACGGCGCGACATCAATTGTTGTGCACTTCGTGACAGCGCTGGTTGTCTCGCTTCGCATGCCGTTCTCCGCTCTCATCTGAGATGCAGTATATGAGCATAGGCAGTGACACGTCACATTTTCTGGCCTATCCAGACAAAGGATCGAACTCCCAAGGCGATGAAGCTCAAAGCTTCACTTACAATCTGGCTTTTGAAACATATGAAAATGAATATCTCAGATGGATTTAGAGCTCTCAACATGAAATAATACTCAATAATTTAATAGAATTGAAACAAGACCACTTTTTCTTGGTCACAGAGGGGCAAAAGCTGAATTTTGTAATGAGTCAGCAGGCATGTGAATGGCATCTGTGCATCGCTCAGAGGATGCTGGTCAGAAAATGCTCTGTCATCATGAAATGGTGGCAATATGGTACAGTCACTAGGTATGATCATATTTATTTATTATTTAAGAAAGGTGAAATATTATAGTAAGTCGTTTATAATTTGATTGTTACTATATTTAGAAAGCATTTAAATCATTTCAAGCCCTAATCCCCACTTTTGTTGAATAGGAAAAATATAATATATCATTTTTTATTTTATTTTATCATATTTGTACTGTGTACTTGAGCTTGTGTCCTCAAAAGTGACTACACCTCAGAAATGTATAACCTTTTTTACCAGAAAGGTGAGATTTGAATATTTCTGGCAGTGTAAGCATCACTAGGTATTGTTTATGGCCCTATCATGATAAATAATTACTTTTTGGTATGTCTATTTAGGTGGAAATCTACATTTTGACATTATATTTAACAGGGGTATCAGAGGATGAGTCCCAAACGAGGCCCTATCCCCTTTATAGCCCATACAGCTCTGGTCAAAAGTAGTGCACTATGGAGGGAACAGGGTGCCATTTGGGACGCACACAGAAAGAACATAGAGTTCCTCACTAACACTTTCTCCATGACGTCAGTGTGTAAATGTTTGGTGTTAGTTTGTGTCACCTCTTTGAGCTCTCCGTCATCTGGCTTGTAAGTGATGATGTACTTGAGGACTTTCCCCGGGGAGGCGTCCCATCTGAGCTTCATGGTGCTATGGGTGACAGCAGTGATCCGCAGCTCACCCGATGGTGGCAAGGGTACTGGGGAAGAAGAATGACAGAGAAAGGGATAGAGAGGGAGAAAAGAGAGATGTGTGAGAGGGGGGCAGGGGAATGAAATTGAGTGAGTCTTAGAAACATCTGTATTGTGAGGTAGAACACAGTTTTAGAGAGAGAGAGAAAGAAATAGAGAAAGAGAGAGAGAGAGAGATCAGGGGAACATACATGTGACTCCTTGGTCCACGAGGGGGTCGCTGGCAGCCTCTCTATGCAGGGCAAACAGGGAGAGTGTATACGCTGTGTTGGTGATAAGCTCCTCCAGCTGAACATCATTCACATCTGCCCCAACTCGTATCTGAACAGCAGGGGAGAAAAGAGAGGGGGAAGAAGGGGAGGGGGAGAAGGGGGGGGGGGGGGGAGGGGAGAAGGTGAGAGGAGGAGAAGGGGAGAGGGGGAGAGGGGGAGAGGAGGGAGAGAAGGGGAGGAGGGTTGGAGGAAGAGGGAGAGAAGGGGAAGGGGGGAGATGGGGGAGAGGGGGGAGGGGAAGGGGGAGGAGTGGGAGAAAGGGGGAGAAAGGGAGAGGGGGGAGGAGGGGAGAGGGAGGGGAGGAGGTGGGAGGGGGGGGAAGGGGAGGGTAGAGGGGGGGGAGAAGGGGAGAGGAACCAGAGGTGTAGGATGGAGGCAGAACGGGTGAGAAAGGGGACGAAGGGAGAGGGAGACCGGGGGAGGAGGGGGGAGGACGCGGAGAGGTGGACAAAGGGAGAGGGGGAGGGGGGGAGGGTTAGGGAGCGAAGGAGCGGTAAGGGCACAAGGGCAAGCCGGGAGGAGGGGGAGAAGGGGAGAAGGGGAGACGGGAGAGCTGCGGTAAAGGCGAGGTCAGTGCGAACCGGGAAAGAAGGGTAGAGAAGGGAGCAGAGGGAGAGGGTGAAGAAGGGAGAAGGAGAGTGGGAGAGGAGGAGAAAGGGAGGGGAAGTGGGGGAGAAGGGGAGGGGTAGTGGGGGAGAAGGGGAGAAGGGGAGAGGGGGAGAAGGGGAGGGGTAGTGGGGGAGAAGGGGAGGGGTAGTGGGGGAGAAGGGGAGAAGGGGAGAGGGGAGAAGGGGAGAGGGGGAGAAGGGGAGAGGGGGAGAAGGGGAGACCAGGCCGGACGATAGAGGGGAACAAAACAACAAGAAAGGACTTGTCAAGAGGATACCTTCTGAACACCTGGTTCACAGCACTAACTAACACCTGGTTCACAGCATTAACTAACACCCTGTTCACAGCACTAACTAACACCTGGTTCACAGCATTAACTAACACCCTGTTCACAGCACTAACTAACTCCTGGTTCACAGCACTAACTAACACCTGGTTCACAGCACTAACTAACACCTGGTTCACAGCACTAACTAACTCCTGGTTCACAGCACTAACTAACACCTGGTTCACAGCATTAACTAACACCTGGTTCACAGCACTAACTAACACCCTGTTCACAGCACTAACTAACACCTGGTTCACAGCACTAACTAACACCCTGTTCACAGCATTAACTAACACCTGGTTCACAGCATTAACTAACACCTGGTTCACAGCATTAACTAACACCTGGTTCACAGCACTAACTAACACCCTGTTCACAGCACTAACTAACACCTGGTTCACAGCACTAACTAACACCCTGTTCACAGCACTAACTAACTCCTGGTTCACAGCACTAACTAACACCTGGTTCACAGCACTAACTAACACCCTGTTCACAGCACTAACTAACTCCTGGTTCACAGCACTAACTAACACCTGGTTCACAGCATTAACTAACACCTGGTTCACAGCATTAACTAACACCTGGTTCACAGCATTAACTAACACCTGGTTCACAGCACTAACTAACACCCTGTTCACAGCACTAACTAACACCTGGTTCACAGCACTAACTAACACCCTGTTCACAGCATTAACTAACACCTGGTTCACAGCATTAACTAACACCTGGTTCACAGCACTAACTAACACCCTGTTCACAGCACTAACTAACACCTGGTTCACAGCACTAACTAACACCCTGTTCACAGCATTAACTAACACCTGGTTCACAGCATTAACTAACACCTGGTTCACAGCACTAACTAACACCCTGTTCACAGCACTAACACACCTGGTTCACAGCACTAACTAACACCCTGTTCACAGCACTAACTAACTCCTGGTTCACAGCACTAACTACCACCTGGTTCACAGCATTAACTAACACCTGGTTCACAGCACTAACTAACACCTGGTTCACAGCACTAACTAACACATGGTTCACAGCACTAACTAACACCCTGTTCACAGCACTAACTAACACCTGGTTCACAGCACTAACTAACACCTGGTTCACAGCATTAACTAACACCTGGTTCACAGCACTAACTAATACCCTGTTCACAGCAATAACTAACTCCTGGTTCACAGCACTAACTAACAACTGGTTCACAGCACTAACTAACACCCTGTTCACAGCACTAACTAACTCCTGGTTCACAGCACTAACTAACAACTGGGACGTGTGTGTCTCCTGGGGTATGCCTGCCTTGCTGCCTTCAGTCCACACTGAAATTCCTCTAAAGGCTACACTACTGCTTGCCAGCCCTCACAGAAGCCTGCAGTTCAAAATATACAGCATCTGTTGAGATTTTGTTTTTTAATACTGTATATCATCTCTATGACTTCACTGGTGAAAAAAGCTGCACAGGGCCAGCATGAGCTAATCCTTCTCATTACCCTCTGTGTCCAAAGGGACTGTTTTTTGTAGACCTTGCCTGAACATCACTGTAAAAGTCCACTTCCTGCTCTGTGCAGTAATCATCACATTACCATCTGGAATGAGTAAGGCCCCACTAGCAGAGGCCTTGACTACCCTGCCTTGTGGAAATGCTGAACATGTAAATGGAATGCCTATCCAACGTCCAACCTCCACTCGTGAGTTTGTGAGTGAGTGAGTGAGTGAGTAAGTGAGTGTGTGAGTGAGTGAGTGAGTGTGTGAGTGAGTCAGTGAGTTTGTGAGTGAGTGATTGAGTAAGTGAGTGTGTGAGTGAGTGTGTGAGTAAGTGAGTGAGTGAGTGAGTGAGTGTGTCAGTGAGTGAGTGAGTGAGTGAGTGAGTGAGTGTGTGAGTGAGGGTGTGAATGAGTGAGTGAATGAGTGAGAGTGTGTGTGTGTGTGTGTGTGTGTGAGTGAGTGAGTGAGTGAGTGAGTGAGTGAGTGAGTGAGTGAGTGAGTGAGTGAGTGAGTGAGTGAGTGAGTGAGTGAGTGAGTGAGTGAGTGAGTGAGTGAGTGAGAGTGTGTGTGTGTCCTACTCACCTCTTTCTCCACAGTGGGCACAGTGGCATTGATGGCTCTGTAGAACAGCATGTAGCCTGTCGCCCCTTCAGCCTTCTCCCACTTCACCCTAAAGGTGGTCATGGTCTCATCGTACACAGTCAACTTTATCACCCCGGGCAGTGGCACTGTGGAGCGTGAAGAGTAAACACACAGTTAGTTACCGCCTAACTACTAGTGTAGAGACATCCTCAACCACAGTTACCAATAACTACTAGTGTAGAGACATCCTCAACCACACAGTTAGTTACCACTAACTACTAGTGTAGAGACATCCTCAACCACACAGTTAGTTACCACTAACTACTAGTGTAGGGACATCCACAACCACACAGGTAGTTACCGCCTAACTACTAGTGTAAAGACATCCTCAACCACAGTTACCACTAACTTGTAGTGTAGGGACATCCACAACCACACAGTTAGTTACCACTAACTACTAGTGTAGAGACATCCTCAACCACAGTTACCACTAACTAGTAGTGTAGGGACATCCACAACCACACAGTTAGTTACCACTAACTACTAGTGTAGAGACATCCTCAACCACAGTTACCACTAACTACTAGTGTAGGGACATCCACAACCACACAGTTAGTTACCACTAACTAGTAGTGTAGAGACATCATCAACCACAGTTACCACTAACTACTAGTGTAGAGACATCCTCAACCACAGTTACCACTAACTAGTAGTGTAGAGACATCCTCAACCACAGTTACCACTAACTACTAGTGTAGAGACATCCTCAACCACAGTTACCACTAACTACTAGTGTAGAGACATCCTCAACCACAGTTACCACTAACTACTAGTGTAGAGACATCCTCAACCACAGTTACCACTAACTACTAGTGTAGAGACATCCTCAACCACAGTTACCACTAACTACTAGTCTACGGACCTCCAAAACACAACCCAGTCACCCACATCACATCCAGCTTCTGTGTTTATGGCAGAAGCATGATGATCCTACACACAGTGTTAGTTTAAAATGACAAATAAAGGAAACCGCAAGTGATCTAACACTACTGTTGTGGTGTCCAAGTCGCGGGCTACAAAACAATAACCATGCTTTATGACAGTGAGAAATATCTTATAACGTCCACCATAAAAATCTAATGGACTCATTTCTAAAAGTGACAACGTCCACTATATCGCACAAATGGAGCAATGAAAGTGGTCAGCTCTTTGTACTTAACCATCATGTGGAATTATGTCAGTTTTCTTAAGACACTCTTAATAAGGCCAAGAATGAGAGAATGATGGTTATTGTCCCCATAAGAAACCTCCACTTCTGCATTTTCTAACGGGAAACCCTATGGGAACTTGTTGTTGTTGTTGCTTAACACTTTACTGCCACCAATCAGACCCAATATATCCCTGGTTGTGTAAATGAGCTTGTTTAATAGGCCTACAAGAGCAATATAAACAAGTTCCATCCATGTCTAACCCATTTAAAACAGTGTACTGAGCATGGCGGGGCAGGGGATGTTTATTTCAACATCGTATATCGTAATGAAACAAATGCGCTCCCACAACAGTGGAACTCATAAGAGCTGCGATGCTATCCCCACATTAAAGTGGGCAACCGAACAGCATCTTTGTGAAACTCATCTCAATCCACTTCCTGTCTATCACTGTAGCGCTTGTTATATCATTCGACATCCAAATAAGGCTATTGGATTAGCTGAACCTGGACACCTTTCCAGGAGGTGATTTCAAGGTTTACTGGGTAATTGGGAGGAGGTTGTGTGAGGAAACGGAACGAAAAGGAAGACAAACAGAGAGGAGAGGAGGCAAGGGAGCAGAACAGCTGCAACACTCACAGGTGGTTTCAGTGCCCTTCAGCGGCTCTGCGCTGGTCTCCTCTCCGGTCACAGAGAAGACGTTGACCACGTACTCGGTCAGAGGGGTCAGCTTGGTCAGGACCACGGTGGTGACCGTCCCATCGACAATCATCTGAAGAGAGAGAAAAAAGGCATAGTCTTTATGCAGGAAAGCTCAAAATCCAAGTATATTCAACAGGAGGTAGACCAGAAGATAGATGGCAACCTCAAGTCACCCCTCTGTACTGCTGTCTGCCCAGGAGTTTCAAATTCGTCATGGGATAATATTTTAAATACAGCAGGTCAAAATCAAATGTTCCAACTAATACGGCACATGTTTAGGAAACCCAAAACAAAACTAACATCTTCTCGCACACATACTCTCTCTTCTAAGTGTCAGAAGGCTATCCAAAAGAACGGAGCACATATCAGCAAATTGAAAGTGAAATCTGATTTATTTGTGTGAATAAGTGTTTTGGGGTCCAATGCAAGCATTCAAAATGAAGGAGAATGGATGGATGGCCAGGATTATCTTTTCCAGCAGGAAGAGTTATGCAACAAGACTAAACTAACTAGGTCTAGTCTAAGGTTGAGGCCTGGTGGAAACTCTTTGGTCTTCCTTTCAGACAGGGCTCACTAGAACCACCTAAACCCTGACCAGGGCCAATGAAAGCACAATGCATGGAATAGACCCAGTCCTGTATTCATAAGGACATAAGTGACAGAAGGTTAAGTGTAACTGAATGCAGGTCTGCCTCAGCCACTGTGGAACACTTCTCAATGCTGAGAAGAAAGCCAGATGACTTGAGCTTTATCTGACTGAATCAGATCCACATGAAATGGATCGACCGACGATGGCAACTAGGTGGATTTAAGCAAACATTTTACACTGGATACACTTGATAACTGTGAAATCTCCAGCGAGGCTGCATATAGGGCAGTTCCTCCATCAGAAACTCCTGGATAAACAGGAGACCGCTTTCAAAGTGACCCGATCACCTCATGGCAAGATGAAACATGGAGGTCTGAGAGAGGAATTCAGACCAAAAGGAATCATTCAGCCAATTCTCTGTCATATCCAAACCAGGTGTGACTATGAATAGCTGATGCTCTTAAAATGCTATGACCTTGGAGAGGTGAGGTGATTGAGTTGAGGGGAGGTACAGTACTGTAGGCTATAGGTTTACCTGTTCAGTGATTCCTCCCACCACGGGCATGTAGTCGATGCGGTACTTTTCCACGGGACCTTCGGGCGCCGTCCAGGTGGCACGGAATGAGTGGTGGGTCACCTCGGAGGTCACCAGGTTAGTGGGCGGCTCCAGGCCTCCTCCTGGTCGAAGAGCAGAGGAAATGTGAGCCGACACGTCAAATATTTCACACACTCAATTCTCCAACCACAAATATGTCCCTTTCACCTCTGCCTCACTGACACAGGGCTGTTAGGGCTGTTTCTATAGCAGGTTGACGTTTATTGTCATGAATTTTGCCTTGGAGGCAGAACTGAGCCATTTCCGCTAGCTGGGCCAGCTGCAAAATCAAAATTGGCTATATCGTAAAAATTCATGAAAACAAACATTTGCTTTTTGGTCTTAATTTAAGGTTAGGGTTAGGCATTAGGGTTAGCAGTGTGGCTAAGTTTAGGGTTAGGTTATAAATCAGATTTTATGACTTTGTGTCAAGATTTATTACAATAAATGCGAACCTGCATTTCTATACATCACAATTTTGATAACACACTTAAAAAAATAATAAATATCCATCCCCATGTAGTAAATCACTATTGTGTCTCCTCGTAAATTTGATTTAAGGACAAGAGTGTGTCCAAAAAACCTAAGTTTCCATCAACTGGTTGGACCTTATGTAACTTAAGGCAAGAAACTAAATTTATCAAGTGTGTTAGGCAAACTAGTGACAGTTTCGAGGCAATATCCACAAGTGTTGGCGTTCGTTCTGTCTTTTCATTGGCTCGTCTCATCAATCATGCTGTTCTTATTGCTATTCTCTATCTGCTATGCTAATCCATTTATTCAACTGATGAAAAATATCAGTACAGCTTTTTCTGGCTTACAGGTTAAATGGCTTTTTAATGTATTTTCCTTGCCATCTGATCCCATCTTAAATTAGAAATACCCCTAAACCCCTAAATGCTGTACCAAGTACAATACCTAGCTTGACTTAGCAGCATACAAATAACTAACCATTTGAAGTTAGCAACATTTTGAGTTGAGCATTGTTTCAAATGTTTCTTTCAGTGATTGGGAGAGAATGAGAGAATAAGAGAGAGAGAGAGAGAGAGAGAGAGAGAGAGAGAGAGAGAGAGAGAGAGAGAGAGAGAGAGAGAGAGAGAGAGAGAGAGAGAGAGCGAGAGAGAGCGAGAGAGAGAGAGAGAGAGAGAGAGAGAGAGAGAGAGAGAATAAGAACTTACCTGGACCCTTCACACTGTTACAGAGGTTGATGGTGAGCTCATCCACTATATCCAGCAGAAAGGAGAAATCATTCACGTTGTACATGTGAATCTCATCCGGGTCTGAGGCAATGGACCTCAACTCATTCTCATCAGCATTCTTCACACCTAGAAGCCACATAACACCACAATATTCACTTCTGTTGGGATCATGACAAAATAGACTAAACTGTCCTCTGTTTATGATACAATCACAACATGAAAATCTGTTTATTGTAAAATGTCTGTGAAATTGAGGAGAGGACTGTGGATCTGTCTCCGTCCGTTAGTACATTCATACGTTCATCACATGCGATATCCCAGACACCACTAGCCCGATTTTGACGAAACGTGGGTGAATGATGTGTCTTGCCATAGTGATCCGGCATTTACAAAATATAACAAGCGATTGAAAATGCTAACTCTGAAAGGTAACGCCCCTCACCCCCTTTGACCTAAAGTCATGAAATTCAGTACATAGGTCCCTCTACCTTAAGGTCCACCATGATGGATTTTCCGCCATTTAGAATTGTGTGAAAAACACTTAAAACGCTACTCCTCTGGCACCGAATGACCGATCTGCACAAAACTCTCAACGCAATATTTTTCAGACTAGTACCTACAACAACATTGACCAATAAACATTAACGTGGGTGTGGTCCGGCACATTAATGCATATAAATCAGTCAAGGATATTCGTATTGTAACAAAATTTGGTACACATGTTGCAAACACTGTCAAGACACAACAGATGCGAGAACATTCATATTGACCACACAGTGGCGCCATAACGGGCACATGTTTATATCTCTTGATCTGTTTGAGTGATGAAATTTGGCATACATACTCAGGAATATGAGTCTAGCAAACGCATGCGATATCTCCGACACCACTGGCTCGATTTTGATTACACTTGGGTGAATGATGCATCTTGCTATAGAGATCCGGCATTTACAAAATTTAACTGATTGGCCCAAGGGGGGGCATTATAGTAATCAATGTACGTACATTAGTCACACGCAATATCTCAGACACCACTGGCCCGATTTTAATTAAACTTGGGTGAATGATGCGTCTTGCCATAGAGATCCGTCATTTACAAAATTACACTGATTGGCCCAAGGGGGGCGCTGCATCATTCTTGGCGGATGACATGTTTACTGTTGCCTTGTTTGACATGGTCACAAACTTTGATGGTGAACTGAAACATGCAATGTTGTTGGGTTATACACTAGGAGGGTCACTCACCGATGGCGTAGAGCTCGATGTTCTCATCCCTCAGCACCTGGGAGTTGGTGATAATTTCATCCTGCGACTTGCCGTCAGTGATGAGCACACCGATCTTGCGCGAGTCTTTACGCAATCCCACGTTGGGCTTGAAGTTGTTCTGGAGGATGTAGTTCAAGGCCATACCTACAGAGATATTAGAGGGAATGTTTCATGTTAAGTTAAGTTGACTTGAGTTAAAGATGCACTCCAGGATCTTAAGCACAACAAATTCGTAAAATATGGTATGAATTAGATTCGTAACATATCATGTGAATCGCAAAAACAAAAAGGACGTAACATATCATACGCAATGGATGACGTAGTACTACTGTCTGAAATTAGACTAATGTTTGAGAGTGCATCTTTAAGTTAAACAGATGACAGTTGGTAGTTGTCCCTTTATTTCATAATATGTCACCTGTCATGGTGTTTCCCCCTTTGTATGGCAGGTCAGCCACAGCTTTGAGCAGCCCGTCACGGGTTGGGTGGGCATTCAGATGCCACTCAGTCTTGGGGTCTCCACTGTACTGAACCATACCTGGAGAGAACAAACAGAACACAGTATGACACCAGCGTGATTGATCAGCATCCAACATTCATTTCCATTCCCAGTACCAAGTCCAGATCAAACTTAAAGAGATTGAGCTGGGTGATGAACCTATGCCATCATACACATCACCAATGGGATTTGATCAAAATAAAGATTACCGATCATGACTCTCTCAGGGCCGATGTCAAATACACCAACAATGCGAGCGATGAAGGCACGGATGGTTTTGAAGTTGAGACGGCCAATACTCCATGAGCCATCGACCAGTAGGATGATGTCAGCCTTGGCCTGGCTTTTACACTTGGCTTCTGTAAGGGGTGGAGGAGAGGGCTGTGAGAGGGAGGCCTGATACCATGGACATCCATGTAGTGTGATAAATGAGAGGATGTGTGTCAGAAGGGACGAGCAGCCAAAGAACAACAGAATAATATAAATACTTTCAGACAGACATGCACAAACAAAATACGCACAACAAATACAGAGATGAACAACAAGCATGAGTCAGAAAGACATCACTAAAATCCCAGTAACACACTAACATCAAATGTTTTTATCTACAATAAACATGTTTAGCTACAACACGTTTTGCAGCAGTATTGTTCTCTTGCAGAGGGGATGAACTCTTTCTTTCCCCTTGGGTCTTCTTCTTTTTGTCTTCTTCTTCTATCTTCTTCTTCTTCTGTGTCAATCCTGTTGTCCATCCACGAGGCCTTTTTGTGGCCTGCAGCCTTCTTGATGTACTGTATGTGGGGCAGTCATTGGGTTTGTCCCCTGCCCTGAACAACAAGACCACCCCTGCTGACAGATGAGATACAACAGACTCCTCCTCTCTCCCAGAGGTACTGCACATTCCTGCTGTGCTCGCTATTTGCTACACCAGACACCTGTGGGGGCGAAAGAGGGTTGCTGCTTGCTCGTCCTGCAGCCGAGCAAAAAGACCCAGATGCACCGAGTCGTTTGGACACTGAGCTATGCAATCTGCCACCGTGTCTGCAAATTGAAAAAAGGTTAGAAGAGAAAACAATTATTTACCCACTTTCTTTATTGCAACATGGAGGAACAGATGCTTGACGATGTGTGGGGGATCGCCCCTTGTAAAATGTATATCTGATTATATATGGAACCAATTTGTTTGAGTTATACCACACTGGTAAACAAAGCACTTTGTTGTAAGCTTAATGTAAGTCTCGGAGACATTCATCAACAAAACCACATGTCATCAACTGAGACAGTGTACACTGTCTGAGAGGCATCTGATCAAAAACAGATGACACTGACTGTTGTTTAGAATGCATCAGAGGATACAGTGTCACATTAAGCAAATACATAAAGCAAATAGATGAATCTATCTACTTTGACTGGCTAGTATGTGGTCATTTACAGGAATGATTCATTCCCTAGTCTGTTTATAGTGTAATCCAGTGGTGTAAAGTACTTAAGTACTTTACTATTTATATGTTCTACAACTTTTACTTTTACTTCACTACAATCCTAAAGAAAATAATGTACTTTTTACTCCATACATTTTCCCTGACACGTTACATTTTCAATGCTTAGCAGGACAGGAAAATGGCAGACTCACTAAACACAAATGCTTCATTTGTAAATGATGTCTGAGTGTTAGAGTGTGCCCCTGTCTATCAGTAAATTAAAAAATCAAGAAGATTGTTCTGTCTGGTTTGCTTAATATAAGGAATTTATACTTTGGGTACTTAAGTATATTTTAGCAATTACATTTACTTTTGATACTTAAGTATATTTAAAACCAAATACTTTTAGACTTTTACTCAAGTAGTATTTTACTGGGTGACTTTCACTTTTACTTGAGTCATTTTATATTAAGGTATCTTTACTTTTACTCAAATATGACAATTGGATACTTTTTCCACCGCTGGTGTCATCCTAGTTTTAATTGGCTCTACCACATACAGTCGCTGTTGCTATGGATACAAACATACTGTACAGTACGCAGCAGGCTATACCACCCTCTGAGCCAGGAAGAAGAAAAACCCAATTCCACCCTATAACCACACTAGCTTGGTCATTATTAAACACTAGGGCCAAACTACTGCAGTAGTTTTAGTGTGAGCGGTGAACGCCTATGGTGTGTATGTGTGTGTGTGTAAGACTGTGTGTGTGTGTGTGTGTGTGTGTGAAAGAGAGAGAGAGAGAGAGACCAAGGTTTGGTCTGGGTGCATGGTGGACTAGAACAGCCCTTGCTCTGCTTGATGCGGTGGGCAGTGTTGTCAGTGTGTCTGCTCCCCATTACTGAAACGAATTTCTGCCCAGGGTCACCGGCTCTCTCTCTGGGGTCTTATATGAGAAACATAACATTTTCCTAGCCGCATGCAGTTCTGTTCCACGGCAGCCCGGCCAGCACTGCATACTCTCCTGGTTGTAAAACATCTCTAATTGCAAGCAGAGAAACGTTTTACCATTATGCGAACTTTTTTTGCGATGGAAAAAATTTAAAAATTAACTTTTGCATGTCAAGAAGTATTAGGGATGAATCAATATGGCTGCTGGGCCAATTGGGCACGGTGATGAGAAATCTCAGCAACATAATAGGTTTGGCATGCTGAACATTTGTGGGTGGGGGGTGTAACCTGACTAATCATTCACTGGCACTGGAGCAAGAAAAAAGAGGTCAAAACACCCATAAAGTGAATCATAAAAATATTATAATGTCCCACTTATCAATACACTCCATCACAGTCTTAAGATGATATGAGGCAGAAAGGCCCATTGAAGCCAAACAGCTATACATTATTAGTACTCATTACAATCAATGTCTGTGTAATGTGGAATGTTATTCTAATGGTTGTGATGATGATTAGTTTAGACCATCTCATAGTTCAAAAGTGGGATAATTAGTGTCATGTCTCTCATAGTGGGAAGACTACTCCTCGTGAGGGTGGGAACAGAGATGGGCTGTGGCTGGGACGCTGTGTGTCTGTGGTTTGGTCTGTGGGTCTATCGGAGTGGCTGTTCTGTGGCTGCATCCCATTTGGCTCCCTATTCCCTATATAGTCCACTGCTCTGGTCAAAAGTAGTGCACTATGTAGGGAGTAGGGTGTCATTTGGGACGCAGCCTATGTCTGTATCTGTGTATGATTGTCGGTTATGTTATGGTATTGTAAGGTTTTACCGTTCCAAGGTTCCAATGGCACTTCGGGTGCGTCGGAGAGGGTAGTCTTCTCCTCTCCAGCCAGTGCTGCAGAGTGGCCTCCATCAAACATTCCAAACACAGTCACAGAGTACTTTGTTCCGGCCCTGATGAGATGGAGAGATGAGATTTAAAGTTACTTTTATGTAACCGTCTAAGAATGTCAGATCAATGTCACAACACTGACAACTTCCTGTCTGAAGATAGAACTTCCTGTGTCTCACCTGAGCTCCTCTAGCACCACCGTGTTGTCATAGGGCCCAACCAGCAGCTCTCCCAGGTTGATATCATCACCACTGGGGTGGAAGGTGACCTTGTAGCCACGCACATCTCCAGGAGCTGGGTCCCAGGAGACTCTGAAACTGTTCTTGCCGGGCTCTGAGGTCTGTAGGTTTCTGGGAGCTTTGTAAGGTGACACTACAAGAGGACAGACAAACAGAGAAACCATATCAGTTCAAATTCATGGGAGAAAAGTCATAACGTCATAACTTCAACTTCGGCAATGCTAGTCTTTTTTCATTGAGATCAGCCAACACACATTCCAGTCAGTTTCTCATTAGTCCATAATACAAGTATTAAGTCCTAGCCTGCGTCCCAAATTGCAGCTTATTCCCTTTAGGGAATAGGGAATAGGGAATAGGGTGCCATTCCAGTGTCTTAGAACCGAATGTCATGCCATGTGTTAGTGGTAAGCTCTCTATATGTGTGTATTAACCAAGTGTCTGAGGTTTTGTTAGTGAAAAGACACCTGCCCCACCTACAATATTCCCATAGTGTGTCCCGCAGCGCCCTACTGTCTCTCATATCATGGGGTTGAATTATGGACCAACGTACGTGTCGTTCCTACTCCTTGCCTTGCTTTTCCTTCTCCCCGCTTGTAGATGGGGTGCACCTTGATGCCATAGGTGGTCATGGGCGTCAGGCGCTTCAGCACGGTGGAGGTGGAGGTGCCGGGAACCTTAGCGACCATCTCTTTGCCCCCAGCAGTGGGCACATAGGTCACCCGGTAGTTGATGACTTTACCCGGCGCGGCCATCCACGTTACCTTCATGCTTCGCTCGGTCTCATCGGACACATTAAGCGCCTTAGCAGAAGCAGACACTGAGGACAGAGAGGAGGGCAATGTTTCATAAAACATCTACTCTTCGATACGTAGCGAGGATGTTGAGAAAAATTATCTAAAAGAGAGTTAGACTCTTATCCCCAAATCTGGTAATCTTAACTTACCCCATTCTGAATAGAGCTACGCTCCATTTACCATGTCATAAGGTCTATATGTTCCACCATTTCTGAATGCAACAATAGTCAAACCACAATCCTTCCAAACACTTAATGATCCCAGGAAAGAATGTCAGACCGCTAGACTCGTTCACTGGGAGGACAGTTATTGGCCTCCAACTTCTCAATGTATTGCTTGACCTGAATGGACCTGTGACACTGTTACCGGAGATCCATTGGTTCCGCTGTGCAAACGTAATGAGGTAAGCACGGATATGAAAGAGGCGAGGTCTCCTGAGAATGTTTCAACAATGTTTTCTGTTCGAAATGTGCTTGACTTGGCCTGCCAGAGTCAATAAACTAAATGGCTTTCCATATCTACATGTGTCTATTCAAACCATCACACTGGTTCCTCAAGTGTTAGAGGACATTTCCATCAATGTGATTTCCCATGTGTGCATGAGTAGGATAGGGGGATGTGTGGTCGATTTGAGCCTGTCTAAATTCTGCTCCCACACACCCTAACAGGCAGAATACAGGACATATTACACCATGCGCTGCACACATGCATCATTTTTTTTTCTAAGTTTTCTTAGATTCTAGAACACATAATGCATCATAACTGTCACCACCTCAGTTTCCCACTGTAGACCACAGCTTAAAAGGGCGTCTTAGAAATGGCCTTTTCCCATAAAACCCGACACCAAGACCAAAGGGTTTCAGAGAGTGATGATGATGAGCACTGGGATGGAATTTCTTCATCTTTTAGACATTTTTTTCCTTATCATCTTGACACTGGTATACCATAGTGCCGGTGCATGAAAAATGATGTGATGGCCCGATGAGAGTTTCAAACTGTTCTACAGAGCTACAAAACCCTTCAAGTACACCTCCAAACCTTCGCAACTAACAACACCACTTCAGTGAATGTTTGTCTGCATCCCAAATAACACCATATTCCCTACTTAGCGCATTACTTTTGACCAGAAACATATGGGCCTTGGTCAAAAGTAGTGCATTATATGGGGAATAGGGTGCATTTGGGACACAACCATTGTGTTCACCTCTGACATCTAACACTGAGAGCTTTCCCTGCCAGACTAAGTCAGTGGCACAGATCAAGGAGATGCAGCAGGAAGTTGAGCCAGCACTTGCCCAAGGATTCTGAGGGGTTGGGCGGGCAGAGTTAGAGAGAGAACTGATCGGTCTTCAGCATAAACTGACGAGGCAGATGCTGGCTAACCAAGGAAGTAATCACATTACGTTTGTCATTTTGAGTAATCCAATGGATTACGTTACGAACAGAGGATGATGTGTAATAAAGAGTGGTACCATCAGTGGTCTCCTGTCCAGTCAGCGGGCCTCCGTCTCCTCTGCCATAGGCGGCCACAACAGACACCTGGTAGAGGGTCTCAGGGATAAGGCCCTCCAGCACGGTGTTGGTGACGTCTCCAGGGACCGTCTTCTCCCCTGACTCATCACTGTACATGGACTTCCAGCGGATTCTGTACATCTTCACGTTCCCAAGGGCAGCCGTCCAAGACGCAGCGAAGCTGGTGTCCGTCACGTCGCTGGTGACAAGGTCCTTGGGGGAGCCCAGCTCTGAAACAAACATGGAGGAAAACAGATCATATTTCTGGGTAAGGATTTGGGAGAGGATACAGGATACAGTGATTGGTTGCTGATAATCAATGAACGTATCAACACGCTATCTGGATAGGCACTTCTCAGTAAAGGAAGAGAACGTACTCAACTCTAAATCCTCTTGCGTAAACAAGTAAAAAGGGTGCTTAGAACCCAAAATCGTATGCACTTCAGTGCATTTGTCTGGGTGCGTCTTGACTAATTGACGCAGAGAGGACAGCAGAGTTTGTATAATTTTTTTGTTGCAATGTTTGTATATCGTTGTGTTCTAAATTTGTTTGACTGTCTTTGTCTAACAGTGTATCAGTGTGTTGTTACTTGAAATATTTTGTGTTGTCCCGTGTGGCCCAGTTGGTAGAGCATGGCGCTTGCAACGCCAGGGTTGTGGGTTCGATTCTCACGGGGGACAAGTAAGAAAATGTAGGCACTCGCTCTGGATAAGAGCATCTGCTAAATGACTAAGATGTGTTTTTTGTGGACCCTGGGAAGAGTAGCTGCTGCTTCTGCAAAAGCTAATGGGGATCCAAATAAACAAATAGTAATCTACCCAGACAGAGAGACCACACAGTAATCTACCCAGACAGAGAGACCACACAGTAATCTACCCAGACAGAGAGACCACACAGTAATCTACCCAGACAGAGAGACCACACAGTAATCTACCCAGACAGAGAGACCACACAGTAATCTACCCAGACAGAGAGACCACACAGTAATCTACCCAGACAGAGAGACCACACAGTAATCTAATAATAATAATAATAATATAATAATAATAATAATCTACCCAGACAGAGAGACCACACAGTAATCTACCCAGACAGAGAGACCACATAGTAATCTACCCAGACAGAGAGACCACACAGTAATCTACCCAGACAGAGAGACCACACAGTAATCTACCCAGACAGAGAGACCACACAGTAATCTACCTAGACAGAGAGACCACACAGTAATCTACCCAGACAGAGAGACCACACAGTAATCTACCCAGACAGAGAGACCACACAATAATCTACCCAGACAGAGAGACCACATAGTAATCTACCCAGACAGAGACCACACAATAATCTACCCAGACAGAGAGACCACACAGTACTCTACCCAGACAGAGAGATAAAACTGTAATCTACCCAGACAGAGAGATAAAACAGTAATCTACCCAGGCAGTGAGATAAAACAGTAATCTACCCAGACAGAGAGACCACGCAATCATCAAACCCTCTGTTTGGTTCATAGTGGGTTGGTTCCGAGACAGACTCTAGAATAATTCCAGGATAGCACAGAGCACAGCTCCTGGTGGATATTTACTGGTAAGACACATGATCAATCTGACCATGCCACCACAAGTACATCAAGCTGATTCTGACTCAAATCCATTTGCCTTCTGTTGTTCAGTCTTACCACTGAAACCAAATGAGCTAACCGATAAATGCAAACGTCTGGTTCCCTGTGTATATGTATCCTCTTTCATATTGAAACATAAACATATACTTCAGGGGGAAATAAATACGTATTTTTTTCTGACTCAAAATCATATGGCGAGCGAAATTAACTTTAAGCATGTTTTTAATTTTATAGATCAACAAGTAAACTGTGTCTGAGTTCAGGACAAGTCTTTCCAACTGCCATGCCAGAAGTAATCTATCAAACATAATATTCTTCTGAAGCAACCCATTCCAGTCCTGGCTAAATTCTAATTTCCTTAATTTTACTGCACGTAATGCCTCTGCCCACATGGGCAGGCTCTCCGTCTCCACCACAGAGACATAGCAGCCTCTATTAGCTGGGACTTCTCCACTGCCATTTTTCTATCTGTGGACAGGCTCATTTTTTCAACATCTGGGAGAGAGTCTGGAGGTTTTTTCTAAATCACAGGCCACAGACAGCTCTCGCATGGAATCTGGCGCTCGGAAGTCCGACCTGAAACCCACTCAACCCCATTTTTCCACCGCCCATCATGAGGCAAAACTGAACAAAACTACAGTAAATTCAACACCCCCTCCTCTAGGCTTTGACATGTGCTGTCTCCCTTTCTGTCCCTAGCACTCTCTATTTCTCTCTCACCCTCTCTCGCTTCCTTTCTTTTAAACACTATACTTAACCTTTCCATTTCTCTACAAAGACTCTCCACTACATTGGCTTGGAATATTTTCTGAATAAACAACTATGTGATTTTATGGCTGCCTGCATAACATTGAATAACAATGTTAAGCCACTCAAATTAATCAATTGTTGAAACGTAACAAAATATACACACTATTGTTCTGTTCTAGTTTATCTTCCCCTCCCTATTGCCTCCCAACATCAAGCAGGATTGATTTTGTTCAGGCCTTTGACATTTCAAATAGCCTTGAAATTTCAAGCACGTTGCAATGTCCTACGCTCAAGACAAAACTCGATCCTAGGGATAAAATCTACCGTGCGTTCGCATCCAGCACTAATACTATTAAGCCAAAAGAGTCTAAAGTTCAGTACCACAGTCAGAATAAACTGTACTTTTTTTTTTAACGTTTGAACCTTGGGATCATGTTCTTTAGACCCTGGTCCAATGGAAGGGAGAGTGCAGGTGCTGAAAAGCAGTGCAGTCTGCCCACTGCCTGTTTGTCTTAATGACATCCCTAAGGGTCAGACAACAGCAGCTTGAACCCTTTATAAACTCTGACAAATGCCAGATACAAATGTGGGATCTTAATTTGAGCCAGTTTGCTACAGCAGGAAACAGGACATTTGAATTATTATGTGGATTATACAGTAATTAATTGTAGGAGTTGATCCATTTTTCGTAAGGGAAAATCAAGTCTGAAGTTTCAAAGTGGAAATTACAAACTTCAGAAACATTTCTAAACGTCAAATACACTACATGTTTTACATTTCCTGCATTGCAGGAAAGTTCTACTGCAACAGAGTGATCAAATTAAGATCCCACATCTGTAGGAGAGGGGCCAAGGGGGGAACCATTCAGCCCAACGAGAGGGGGGATTCTCAGGGCTATGTCCTGAGGGAGGACACAGCTATACAACTACTACTAACTACAGAGCCTGAGTCACAGTAAGAGTAAACCACCTCTTGACTTAACCTGTAACCTTTATGATCGTCATTGATTCAATTCCCATGATGCCTCTCTTTGGTTCTTTTTGATTCCCAGCACAGTCTTGGCTCCCCATCATCACCCCTCCCTGATGGAAGTGGATGGTGAGTGCTCAGTATGGAGGCAGCCAGCATACAAGCAGCTTTGAAGGCTTTTCACAGGTAACACTTTCCATATGCCTCCTCTTTCTTTAACATTCATCATCTCATCACCTTTCATTTGTTTTGTTACAATTATTCTGTCCTCCTCCTGCCACATCAACAGATTGAATTAGAGGGGAAATGCACAGTATGCTCACTCAATTGATCTCCTTGGTGTGAGAATAGAAGGAATGTGAACTCCAGGTCATCTAGACTGTCATCGTTTCCCCAAAAGGGACTTGAGGTGAGCTGTGCTGGAGTGCCTTCCTCGACAAACTGGAGGCTCCACAGAAACGGCCACCAGCATAGGCAGGCCTAGGGCATGTCACGCCATACTGTATATAGTGCACTACTTTTGACCAGTGCCCTATGGGGCCCATGGTCAAAAGTAGTGCTCTATATAGGGAATAGGGTACCATTTGGGACGCAGACCGAGGACCCCTTGAGGGCCTGACAAATAATTTAAAAATACATTTTACATTTTTTAGCAGACGCTCTTATCCAGAGCAACTTACAGAAGTGATCACATACATTTTCATTCGTACTGGTCCCCCATGGGACTCGAACCCACAACCCTGCCGTTGCAAACGCCATGCTCTACCAATTGAGCCACACAGGACCGTAGTTTCTCCTTAGTGGTTTAGTCCCTAGCCTCCCAGTGGAACCCAGCACAAAGTGTTCAGTGTGTGTCGGCTTGGTGGAGTGAAAGCAGAGAGAGTCCTGTACACTATGTCAACGAACTAACTAACTCAGAGATTTTGCTACTCCATGTCCCTCAGGGGAGAAGACAATCAGCCTAGCCTCCATGACAGGCTGAGACGCATTCTGGTACCAGGAGCCATTCCCAATCACACCGGCAGCACCAAGTCAAGGACCAGTCAAATATGCACCATTGTTCAAAGCCTGGGGAAGGAATGCTGGCTAAAGTCAAGCTCTTGGCATTTTTTAATGAATGTAAAAGGGATGGATACAGTGGAAAAGGCGAAAGGCTGAGATTTTCACAGTACACAACTCTTTTGTTCCTGCCTACTGTACTGTATGCGTGACTGTTGCAAAAACAGTCTAATAGAGCCTAATGGTTCTGCTTCATGTCAGCTCTGTTGCCACTTCAAAGTCCATTCCATTGAAAGTGGGCCACGGTAAAGAACTAGGTCTGCACCACTCCTTGCCCTCAGAAGTGCAACAGAAGAACACAGTTATTGCAGACAAGAATATTAAATTACAGGCAAGCCCTCACAAACAAGGTACAGGGTTAGAGGAGAGAAGAATGACTTCATCCCCCCCCCCCCCCCCCCACCCCCCATAGGAGAACCAGATAGCTGACTCCGCAAAAGAGACAACTTTTTGAAGAATCTCTCTGAGAACTGAAAGAGGAGCAACTCATAACTTTGCCATAACTCTGAAAATGAATGCCATGTTTTTATTCAAGGCACCAGTCATTGATTCAGGTATAGACCCAGGTTTTGTCATAGTACAGTTAATAGCGCTAAAGGAGCTGAGTTTTAGGCCTCACTACACTACTGTGTTGTTGACTCTTAAGGCTGGTTCCCCAGACCCAGATTAAGCCTATCCTCCTGGAGGATCATGGTCAATGGAGAAAATCCATAACAAATGGTTTCAGTCAGAAACCAGCCCTTACAGTCCAATAACAATGTACCTATTTTGGGAAGTCTCTGTTCTGCTTACCTTCCAGTGTGGTTCCTTTCCCTTTCAGAGGGTCTCCTAGGCCAGAGGAGTAGCGTGCGCTGACGGCCAGGTCGTACTCAGTGCCAGGCTGCAGGTTCTTCAGGAGGGCGTTGGTGTTCTCTCCCTTCACTGACACCTCCTTCCACTCGCCACCTGCCGACGGATGGAAATTGATGCGGTACTGGAGGACGCGGCCCGGTGCCGCCGCCCACGACAGCTTCATGGTGGACATAGTCTCGTCGAAGACCCGCAGGTCACGTGGAGATCCCTGCCCTAAAAGAGAAGAGGCGGTAAAAGCCACGCTGTCAATGAGGAGTCAATCAAGGTTGACGTTGTTGGGCACAGTGTAGGTTCTGGCATATGACCAATTAAACCTCCCGTTGTCCTAGGGTCAAAATGACCCGCCACTGTGTTGAACCAACTTTATTTAATTTTTATATTTTTTGGATCATTTGTGAGAAGGAGGCAGTGATACTTTCTTTAAAGTCTCACTGCCTCCTTCTCACAAATGATCCCCAAAATATAAAAATTAAATAAAGTTGGTTCAACACAGTGGCGGGTCATTTTGACCCTAGGACAACGGGAGGGTTAACTCAGGTGTCTGTTACTACACTAGACAGATTGGAAAGACCACAAGTTTTCATTAATGCAAGTCTCAAGTAATATAAAGGTTTTTGGAAACGCACACAGTGAAAAGCACAACAAGGGTATCATTGAAAAGAAGATTGAGGAATGTCAGCTGGGTGCTGGATGCCAAAGAGCCACAGGCTGGGATACGTTCTATCCTTTAAACAGCTGCTTCATTTAAAGGAGCTGGAACTGCTTTGAGTGCTGATAATCACTGAGAAGAGTGTGGTTGCCGTGGTGAATAGGAGTAACTTTTTATTTTTATTTTTCCGTCAGCCTCCCTTGCTCCTTTGGCTCCAGCGCTGTAAACTCCTGCATTACTGAGCAACAGTTCACCACAAATAATCAGAGACCTCTGGTATGTATCGAAAAATACCTCCTTAGAGGCCAACCCCTTTGTGATTTCTTCCATTGACTTCCCGACAAAATATTATGACATAGTAAGATTGGGTGGAATATTAGCTCTGTAGAACATAAAGTCGAAAAAAGTATCACTGGTTTGAAGCAATAGGCATCCATGTTCACACCCCTTGATGCTAAGTGTAACCGAGTTTGATTCGTAGCATCACTCCCCAGCTTGAAATGTATCAAATAGCTAGCGTAATTGTCTAAGAAGTTGTCAAGCGGGCGGTCATGTTTGTTAGCAATCGGGCTAATGCTAGTTAGCAACTTTCTTCAAACTAAACCCAGATACATAAAAATGGTATCCACAAATTCATATGACTCTGAGGAAGTAGATAAAGGGCCTCATTGCCAAAATCCTGAACTATCCCTTTAAGCAAGCACAGTGTGACTGTTACATAAGCAGATGCCTAGTCACCTTCTTTGGTGGTGCCATCGATCTGCCTCTCTCCGCCAGTGCCTGACTGGTACTCTGCAGCCACCGTCACACGGTACGTCGTTAAGGGGTTGAGCTCTGGCAACACGATGGTGGTCTCTTGGCCGACGGTGGCCTTCTCTAGTCTCGCGCTGTCGCCCCTGACTGGTACATAGGTCAGACGGTACCGTACCACCGCTCCTGGTGCCGCCTCCCACGACACCCGGAAACTCTCTGTCGTTTCCTCGGAAACCCTCAGGTTACGCACTGGTCCTTGTTCTATGACAAAGATATTGGGGTTAGAGGTCATACAAATATTAAAACAGAAGTTATGGCATTGGCATCAAAATATTTCTCTGTTGGTATCTGTTGGTCTGATGGTACTGACCATCTAGTGTGGTCTCGAATCCATTCAGAGGGAAGCTGGCTCCTTGGGCGTACTGGGCGAAGACGCTGACCTCGTAGAGGGTGACGGGCGTGAGGTGAGGCAGCAGAGCGGTGAACGTGTCCCCTGGCACGGACATGGACACAAAGTCCCCGTTGGTGTCAGCAGCCGGTCTGAACTGGATCAGGTAGGACAGGACGTTGAGGTCATCGTTCTCCCAGGTAGCTCTGAAGCTCCTGGCAGCCACCTCAGAGAACGTTAATGACCTCGGTGGCAGTAAGCCTTGAGGAGATAGAAGATGACTAAACATTAGGTCACAACATCCAGGATGCGTCCCAAATGCCACTTTAATTCCTGTGTCCATATTTGCACCCCATAGGGCTCTGGTCAAAAGTAGTGGCCTGTATAGGGAAAAGGGTGCCATTTGGGACGGAACCTCAATAACACTCAAACACGATCTATATTCCATTAGTGAAAATCCCTGTATTGTTTTCTATGTTTATGGTACTCCATGTTGCACTCACTAACTGTAAGTTGCTCTGGATAAGAGCGTCTGCTAAATGACTAAAATGTAAAATGTAAATGATGTCATAATAGATTATTATATAAGGATTATATCACGGGTAATCAAACCTTGTGTGAGTTGCACAATATACTGGCAGAGCTGAATGCCTTTCAGCCATGTACTGCGTGGTGACTAATATTTGGCATTATATTTCCACATGGGAGTCCTCTTACTAACCCTGAGAGAGCAAGAGGTTGTGTGTAACACATTGCTAAACAGAAGACGACAACTTTGGAAAAGGGTATTGTGACACAACAGAAGTAATTGCAAGCATATGCTGTATACACTCATAGTATTTTATCTTCTATTTCTCAGTTCAAGGACCATCAAGACCAAGGTAGAGTGGAGAATTGTCCAAAAAGGAGCAGTTGATAAAAATTTGATTGACTAATACCGTGTAAAAAAAGCACAATTTAAAGGTGAAAGATTCTGCCATAATTCATCAAATGAGCCAAGTATATGATATTTCAAAACATGGTTATTTGTTCAAAATCAAGAAATCAAAGACCTGAAAACTGACCAATGTTTTGGATGTAAGTTATACATTAGAAACCTTCTCATTGCCTACTGCCATATGGAGCTGTGTGATACTGTGCCAGGTGGAAACTTTACATTCATCTGTTAATATACAGTGTATCCCACCCTGGTGTAAATAGGTTGGCATATGAATCATAAGGAACAAGATACATTGCCTACTGTAATTCAAAGAATGCTAGCACTTACTTTAGTATTGCAAAAATACTTTATCTAGGTCACTTCCATAAACATCTTAGACTTCGGTAAGATTGGGCGCTGGGCCATTATCTACTATGAGAATCTATGGCATGCACAAATGTCCCCAATATTTATTGTTTGCAAGATATTCTCATTGGCTAAGGAATTTCACTTACTTCCTGTGTAAACCATTAGCTTGTAGGGCTGGGAATTGCCAGGGACGTCACGATACGATATTATCACTATACGATATGTATTGCGATTTTCACGATTCTCATGATTCTATATGTATTGCGATCCGATACTGTGAATTTATTGTGATTAAGTGTTCCAAACATATTGTTCACCATATGTCTGCTGCAGAGGGACAAGAGACAGTCATGAGAAAACAAGTTCTGATCAGTCATGGAAATAAGTGCTGAAAACAAATTAGCTCCCTATTTAAAAAGAAGATGGAGAACAAGTTTTGGTGCAGGTAGAGCCAACTAGCGCAAAAATAATATTGCGATATTGTCAAAACAATACGATACGATATATTGTAAAAAAATGTATCCCGATATGTAACTCTATAATTTCTTTATTGCATCACTATTAGCTTGACTTGAGTACACTTGGCGAGGGTTTACTGACTAACAACAATGGCCCCATCATGCTGATATAGAGAGGGTACTACTCACTTCTCTTCTTGATGTTGAGGAGCTCCTGCTCGATCCTCAGGCAGATGGACTGGGTGAGCTCCTTGGAGATCCTCTGGAAAGCATCAAAGTCCTCCACGGTGTACACATGGGTCTCCACGGGCTCGTTAGCAATGGCTTCCAGCTCAGACCTCACGGCATCCTTCACGCCCACGGCAAAGATCTCCACGTCCGCTTTCTTTAGCTTGGTGGCCGGGTCCTTGAAGGAGTCGGATGACTTCCCGTCTGTGATGAGGATGGTGACGCGGGGCACGTTCGGCCGTGATCCTCGGTTAGCTAAGAAGACCTTCTCCCTGACGTAGGTCATGGCCCGGCCGGTGTTGGTGGAGCCGCCGCGGTAGGGGAAAGTCCGGACCGCCTTGACCACAGCGCTCAGGTCGCGGTGGGTGTTCAGGTAGAACTCAGTGTGAGCGTCCCTGCTGTACTGAACCAAGCTGATCTGAATCTTGTCTGGTCCAATGTCAAAGGAGTTCACCAGCACCTCCAGGAAAGATCTGACTTTAGCGAAGTTGGACAGTCCGATACTGTATGAGCCGTCGACCAGAATGACAACGTCGGCTTGCACGTCCACTCCAAGAGAACATTCTAGAAGAGGACACAAAAACATCTGTCATGTCATGACAAAATCATACACTGAATGACTATAACAATGACTGACATATTCTTTACTAAAAGACCAAAGGATGTATTTTTGTAGAGTATACTCACCAAGGGACACCTTGACTGGCTCAGTCTTCTCCATGGCCATGATGGGCTCGCTGGGCATGAGGCCCTTGAGGGCAAACAGGTTGATCTGGTACTCTGTGTCTGGAGAAAGGCCCATAACTGTCGCTGAGGTCTGGCTGGGGCTTACGTATAGCTCCTGGCGCTTGCTGCCGGCCATCATGGGGATCAGCTGGATCTTGTAACCCGACACGTCTCCAAAGGAAGCGTCCCATGTCACCCTCATAGACTTGGAGGCCACCTCTACTACTTGGAGGTTTGATGCTGGTTCAATAACTGTAAATAAACAACCCCCAAAACAAAATCAAGACAGAAGTTTGTTAGAAAATAATCCTCCTCTCCCCAGATGGAAATGTTTTGATCATCCATCTTCGAAGTTATCCATGCCAAAACCACTTCCAACATTCAAGTCGTAAAACTGCATTTACCTTCCTCTCCACTGACGAGCGAGTTGAGTTGATCATCCACCCCCGAGCACACATTGGTAATGAGCTCTTTCTGCACATCCTTGATAAGGTCAAAGTTGAGGACGTTATAGACGTGGGTCCTGTAGGGGGTCGAAGCCATTTGTTTCAGCTCCTCCTCATCTGCTCCTTTGATCCCTAAATTGGACAAAGAACCAAAAAAGTGGTGTAAAATGTATATGGTCTCATAAAAGCTGAGGGAAATGTTCCATATCCCCATTGTAATTCTGATCTCCTGCCCCTTTCAGAAGGTTTACTCATTCATAGATAAGAGTCAACACCTATAAAGCCCCAATAAAGTCATCCCTATAAAGTCAATGGCGGCACATGAAAATTATTTAGAATTGTTGCATAGTTTCTCAGGTTCGAGAGCTATAAATGCTGAGTAAAACAAGTGATCTATAAATATATGAAATTAAGCAGGAGGTCTCTCCTTCTTTTCCACATTTAAGAAGAACCAGCTGGATTCACTATGGAACATATAGCGATGTCATGACTTTAGCTGGAAAGAATGACAACATGGGCAAAATGTTGAAAACCCATGTGATACCATTCTAGCTGGTAAGTTTCTTTGTTTTCTTCCTTTCCTTTGTGATATGAATACTTCAACTTACTCTCATGACTATAGAATACATATAGACAGGATTATTAGTATTTACAAACTGGGTGGTTCGAGCCCTGAATGCTGATTGGTTGACAGCTGTGGTATATCAGACCGTATACCATGGGTATGACAAAACAAATAATTGTACTGCTGTAAATACGGTAACCAGTTTAAATAGCAATAAGGCACCTTGGGGGTTTGTGGTATATAGCCAATATACCACAGGTAAGGGCTGTGTCAAGGCACTCCGCGTTGCGTCGCGCATAAGAACAGCCCTTATCAAATCAAATGTTATTTGCCACAAGCGCCAAATACAACAGGTGTTGTATTACATTACAGTGAAATGCTTACTTACAAGCCCTTAACCAACAATGCATTTTTTAAAGATTCTTTTTTTTTAAAGTGTTAAGTAAAAAAAAATATATATATATATATATATATATATATATATAACTAAAGAGCAGCAGTAAAATAAAATAACAGTAGGGAGGCTATATACAGGGGGGTACCGGTGCAGAGTCAATGTGCGGGGGCACTGGCTAGTCGAGGTAATTGAGGTAATAAGTACAGTGAGGGAAAAAAGTATTTGATCCCCTGCTGATTTTGTACGTTTGCCCACTGACAAAGACATGATCAGTCTATAATTTTAAAGGTAGGTTTATTTGAACAGTGAGAGACAGAATAGCAACAACAAAAAATCCAGAAGAATGCATGTCAAAAATGTTATCAATTGATTTGCATTTTAATGAGGGAAATAAGTATTTGACCCCTCTGCAAAACATGACTTAGTACTTGGTGGCAAAACCCTTGTTGGCAATCACAGAGGTCAGACGTTTCTTGTAGTTGGACACCAGGTTTGCACACATCTCAGGAGGGATTTTGTCCCACTCCTCTTTGCAGATCTTCTCCAAGTCATTAAGGTTTCGAGGCTGACGTTTGGCAACTCGAACGTTCAGCTACCTCCACAGATTTTCCACTCCAGGACCTTAATGTGCTTCTTCTTGAGCCACTCCTTTGTTGCATTGGCCGTGTGTTTTGGGTCATTGTCATGCTGGAATGCCCATCCACGACCCATTTTCAATGACCTGGCTGAGGGAAGGAGGTTCTCACCCAAGATTTGACGGTACATGGCCCCGTCCATCGTCCCTTTGATGCGGTGAAGTTGTCCTGTCCCCTTAGCAGAAAAACACCCCCAAAGCATAATGTTTCCACCTCCATGTTTGACGTTGGGAATGGTGTTCTTGGGGTCATAGACAGCATTCCTCCTCCTCCAAACATGGCGAGTTGAATTGATGCCAAAGAGCTCGATTTTGGTCTCATCTGACCACAACACTTTCACCCAGTTCTCCTCTGAATCATTCAGATGTTCATTGGCAAACTTCAGACGGGCCTGTATATGTGCTTTCTTGAGCAGGGGGACCTTGCGGGCACTGCAGGATTTCAGTCCTTCACGGCGTAGTGTGTTACCAATTGTTTTCTTGGTGACTATGGTCCCAGCTGCCTTGAGATCATTGACAAGATCCTCCCATGTAGTTCTGGGCTTTCCTCACCGTTCTCATGATTATTGCAACACCATGAGGTGAGATCTTGCATGGAGCCCCAGGCCGAGGGAGATTGACAGTTCTTTTGTGTTTCTTCCATTTGCGAATAATCGCACCAACTGTTGTCATCCTTCTCACCAAGCTGCTTGGCAATGGTCTTGTAGCCTATTCCAACCTTGTGTAGGTCTACAATCTTGTCCCTAACATCCTTGGAGAGCTCTTTGGTCTTGGCCATGGTGGAGAGTTTGGAATCTGATTGATTGATTGCTTCTGTGGACAGGTGTCTTTTATACAGGTAACAAACTGAGATTAGGAGCACTCCCTTTAAGAGTGTGCTCCTAATCTCAGCTCGTTACCTGTATAAAAGACACCTGGGAGCCAGAAATCTTTCTGATTGAGAGGGGGTCAAATACTTATTTCCCTCATTAAAATGCAAATCAATTTATAAAATTTTTGACATGCGTTTTTCTGGATTTTGTTGTTGTTATTCTGTCTCTCACTGTTCAAATAAACCTACCATTAAAATTATAGACTGATCATTTCTTTGTCAGTGGACAAACGTACAAAATCAGCAGGGGATCAAATACTTTTTTCCCTCACTGTACATGTGGGTAGAGATAAAGTGACTATGCATTAATAATAAACAGAGTAGCAGCAGTGTAAAAGAGGGGGGTGGGGGTGGGGGCATTGCAAATAGTCAGGGTGGCCATGATTAGCTGTTCAGGAGTCTTATGGCTTGGGGGTAGAAGCTGTTGAGAAGCCTTTTGGACCTAGACTTGGCGCTCCGGAACCGCTTGCCCTGCGGTAGCAGAGAAAACAGTCTATGACTAGGGTGGCTGGAGTCTTTGACAATTTTGAGGGCCTTCCTCTGACACCGCCTGGTATAGAGGTCCTGGATGGCAGGAAGCTTGGCCCCAGTGATGTACTGGGCCGTACGCACTACCCTCTGTAGTGCCTTGCGGTCGGAGGCCAAGCAGTTGCCATGCCAGGTGGTGATGCAACCAGTCAGGATGCTCTCGATGGTGCAGCTGTAGACCTTTTTGAGGATCTGAGGACCCATGCCAAATCTTTTCAGTCTCCTGAGGGGGAATAGGCTTTGTCGTGCCCTCTTCACGACTGTCTTGGTGTGTTTGGACCATGATAGTTTGTTGGTGATGTGGACACCAAGGAACTTGAAGCTCTCAACCTGTTCCACTACAACCCCGTCGATGAGAATGGGGGCGTGCTCAGTCCTCTTTTTTTTCCTGTAGTCGTCAATCATCTCCTTTGTCTTGATCACGTTGAGGGAGAGGTTGTTATCCTGGCACCACACGGCCAGGTCTCGGACCTCCTCCCTATAGGCTGTCTCATCATTGTTGGTGATCAGGCCTACCACTGTTGTGTCATCAGCAAACTTAATGATGGTGTTGGAGTCGTGCCTGGCCATGCAGTCATGGGTGAACAGGGAGTACAGGAGGGGACGGAGCACGCACCCCTGAGGGGCCCTGTGTTGAGGATCAGCGTGGCAAATGTGTTGTTACCTACCCTTACCACCTGGGGGTGGCCCATCAGGAAGTCCAGGATCCAGTTGCAGAAGGAGGTGTTTAGTCCCAGGATCCTTAGCTTAGTGATGAGCTTTGAGGGCACTATGGTGTTGAACGCTGAGCTGTAGTCAATGAACAGCATTCTCACGTAGGTGTTCCTCTTGTCCAGGTGGGAAAGGGCAGTGTGGAGTGCAATAGAGATTGCATCATCTGTGGATTTGTTGGGAGTTGGAGTGGGTCTAGGGTTTCTGGGATAATGGTGTTGATGTGAGCCATGACCAGCCTTTCAAAGCACTTCATGGCTACAGACGTGAGTTCTATGGGTCAGTAGTCATTTAGGCAGGTTATCTTAGTGTCCTTGGGCACAGGGACTATGGTGGTCTGCTTGAAACATGTTGGTATTACAGACTCAGTCAGGGACATGTTGAAAATGTCAGTGAAGACACTTGCCAGTTGGTCAGCACATGCTCAGAGTACACGTCCTGGTAATCCGTCTGGCCCTGCGGCCTTGTGAATGTTGACCTGCTTAAAAGTCTTACTCGCATCGGCTACGGAGAGCGTGATCACATAGTCTCCCGGAACAGCTGGTGCTCTCATGCATGCTTCAGTGTTGCTTGCCTCGAAGCGAGCATAGAAGTGATTTAGCTCGTCTGGTAGGCTTGTGTCACTGGGAAGCTCGCAGCTGTGCTTCCCTTTGTAGTCTGTAATAGTTTTCAAGCCCTGCCACATCCGAAAAGTGTCAGAGCTGGTGTAGTACGATTCAATCTTAGTCCGGTATTGACTCTTTGCCTGTTTGATGGTTCGTCGGAGGGCATAGCGGGATTTCTTATAAACGTCTGGGTTAGAGTCCCGCTCCTTGAAAGTGGCAGCTCTAGCCTTTAGCTCAGTGCGGATGTTGCCTGTAATCCATGGCTTCAGGTTGGAGTATGTATGTACGGTCACTGTGGGGACGACATCATCGATGCATTTATTGATGAAGCCAGTGACTGATGTGGTGTACTCCTCAATGCTATCTGAAGAATCCCGGAACATATTCCAGTCTGTGCTAGCAAAACAGTCCTGTAGCTTAGCATCTGCGTCCTCTGACCACTTTTTTATAAACCGAGTCACTGGTGCTTCCTGCTTTAGTTTTTGCTTATAAGCAGGAATCAGGAGGATAGAGTTATGATCAGATTTGCCAAATGGAGGGCGAGGGAGAGCTTTGTATGTGTCTCTGTGTGTGGAGTAAAGGTGGACTAGAGTTTTTTTTCCCTCTGGTTGCACATTTAACATGCTGGTAGAAATTAGTTAGAACGGATTTAAGTTTCCCTGAATTAAAGTCCCCGGCCACTAGGAGCGCTGCCTCTGGATGAGCGTTTTCCTGTTTACTTATGGCCTTATACAGCTCATTGAGTGCAATCTTAATGCCAGCATTAGCCGTGGTATATTGGCCATATACCACACCTCCTCTGGCCTTATTGCTTAAATGTAACACATCAACAGGGTTAGATGATTGAAAGGTAGCCTGTAGTCACATACCCAATGTGAAGATCTCCACCCCCATGTTCTTGAGTTTCTTGGCGATCGCTTCCACAGGGTCTTGAGACATCCCGTCTGTGATAATCATGGCCACCTTGGGAAAGCCTTTCCTGGCACCATTTGCCTCAGTGAATGTGTTTTTCAGCAGATAGTCCATGGCCTCACCTATAACACAGTGGCATGACACCCCTTTCAGTTATTACATTGTTAATTTGATTCACTCTACCAAACGCAGAGAGTTATTAATGAAGAACTACAGCTTTGTCAGTTAGTATTATGCTAGAGGTAATGATATGATGATGTATTGTACAAGAGTGTGTAACAAGGTACTGTACATGGGACGTGTTAGGTACCTGTCATGGTGTTGCCACCCATGTAAGGCAGTGTGTTGATGGCTCTGAGAAGTTCGCCCCGTTTCATGTGCTGGTTGAGGTTAAACTCTGTCCTGGTATCAGTATGGTACTGGACCACACCTACCCTGGTCTTGTCCTCCCCAATCTCAAAGGCTCCCACCATGGTAGAGATGAAGCTACGGATGTATTTAAAGTGGTCTCTTCCAACGTTCCATGAACCATCAACCAGGAACACCAGATCTGCGATGGCACTGAAAGAGCACTCTGAGAGAGAGGAGGAGTGGTAGAGGAGAGGAGCGGAGGAGAAAGGGAAAGGAAAATAAAGAAATTTAGAAAAATGGAAGAGGTAAATGATTTGACCTGAAGACAAAATGTTGTCCCAGAAGCCATATCATTGACCAAAGAAAAACGTAAAGTGTGCTGTTGGTCAAATATATACTGAGTGTACAAAACATTAGGAACACCGGCTCTTTCCATGACATAGACTGACCAGGTGAATCCAGGTGAAAGCTATGATCCCTTATTGATGTCACTTGTTAACTCCACTTCAATCCGTATAGATGAAGGGGAAGAGACAGGTTAAAGAAGGATTTTGAAGCCTTGAGACAATTGAGACATGGATTGTGTATGTGTGCCATTCAGAGGGTGAATGGGCAAGACAAAAGATTGAAGTGCCTTTGAACAGGGTATGGTAGTAAGTGCCAGGTGCACCGGTTTGAGTGTGTCAAGAACTGCAATGGGGCTGTGTTTTTCACACTCAACAGTTTCGCATGTGTATCAAGAATGGTCCACCACCCAAAGGCCAACTTGACACAACTGTGGGAAGCATTGTAGTCAACATGGGCCAGCATTCCTGTGGAACGCTTTCGACACCTTGTAGTCCATGCCCCGATGAATTGAGGCAGTTCTGTGGTCAAAAGTGAACAGTAAAAGTAGCCTCCGGGGAAAAACTGCAGTCCAGCATTTTTCCCCCTTTGCTAAATGCGTAACGTTATTGTATGACGAAAACTACCCTCTTAACACTTGTGTACTACACAGGAACTATGGAATATCAATTAAATATGTCTTATTGGCTAATGCAAATGCTCAGATATGACCCTAAGATGATGAAAAATGAATGCAATGATAATTATTATGTTATTGCCATCCTTTTTGACAGAATACCATTGTCACTACCAAAATCAGACTTTTGTTTAACAGGTTGGAGGACATAGACCACCTGCACTAGACCAGAGGACGGTGTTAGGGATAGTGGCATCAACAGATCTAGTGCAGTCGACAATAATCTTATTGATGTACTTAACTTGTGCAAACTATTTGGGTGGTACTTTGAGATAGAAGCCCTCATAGTGGGTAGTCTTTGGGTGTGTCCCAAATGGCGGCCTATTCCCTGTGTAGTGTACTACTTTTGACCAGAGCCACAATAGGTGCTCCTTTGGGAACACTACGTAAGGTACAGTGAGTGAATAGCTTTGGTTTCCCTGGAGGATATTTTCGAGCTCTGTCTTCTGGATATGAATAAAGTCTGAGAGAGAAGTTTTCCCAAGCAGCAGTAAGCGCGCATCATCTGTAGGGAGGCCACAGTGCTATTGTAAAGAGATGTATCTGTAATGGTTTCCACTTCTCTCAGCCTGGCTGTCTCAGGGCCGGGCAGGCTACAGTACTCTTCAGCACCAGCACCAGAGGCCCTGCCTCCTGAAACAGCTGTTAGCTCCACACCCCTGACCACCACACTGAGCATGTGCAAACTCCCTCACTTGGCATGATTGACAGCCTGGCTCTATGACAGGCAGCTTACCAACTTAATTGCCAATATTTTTCTAGATTTATATAGAATAACGTGTGGAAACGCCCTCCAATGGCTGTTGACCATACACCAATGGAAAGAGCCCAGGCGCAGTACGAGAAATAAAAAAGATTGTAGCCTATGAACCAACTGGAAAATGTGAACTGTTTAGTGTCAGAAAAAGCCAAGGAGGCGATGGACTTACTGACGGAGTCTGTGACCTGTGGTTTCCTGGGACCTCCTTGCACTGTGCCACTTGATTGGACTGAAACACAAGATGAAATCATATAAAACGTGAGTCAAACAAACTACTGTACTTAACCATAAGCACAACTCCCTAATGAGAGTGAATGAATCATCTAGTAGCATGAAACATTTTTTAAATAAACATATTGTCAAATGTATACATCAATTATTTGATGTGGGTGTCTTTAATAACATCAAATCCACTTGCGGTCACAACGAGCAGGCAAGCAGCCGGTTCCCAAATTATAATGGACTAATGCAATTAGTTCCGGCAATTCTCTCAGTAATCTCTAAAGACCCTAAATGGGATGCTTAGGACTGTAGCATCAGACCTAAGGGCCGGTGCCAAAGAGGCTTCCCCATGAAGCAGTGCATATTACATTACAGCATACTCTAACCACTGTTAGACTTGGGAGGTGGGGTTGCCTGTTAGGACCTATGAATTGTTATTCCTCTCTCTATACAGTCTGAATCATTCATCATTAGACTAAATAAGAAGCTGGGGGTGCGTCCCAAATGGCACCCTATTCCCTATGTAGTGCACTACTTTTGACCAGGGCCAATAGGGAATATGGTGCCATTTTGGACGCAACCTGGGTGTCTGGGTATCGCTAAGTGACTCACTTCATTCACCAGTAGTCTACATAAGATAATACATATACCAGATGTGATGGTAAGTGACTCACTTGTGAGCTGTCCTGAGGTGGGCAAACTTTGCTCTGATCCAGAGTATGAGATGATTGTTACTACATAGTCCATGTCTGGAGTGAGGTCTGTGATGGATGTCTTAGTGGCTGTGGCAGGGAGGGTTAAATCTTTTGTCGGTTTGTCTATTGAAATAACAAAGTACCAAGTTAGGAATGAAGGGTTATAGAGAATGAATATAGCAACGTATACCTTAGCACTCTTAGGCTTTGAGTGCAGTAAATGTTTAATTGTGGTGGATCCCATAATGAATTGGTCAGAACAGTAATTTGAGGTGTTTTGTTGTGTCAATGGCAGTGATTGCTTGTTGTAAACTACACAGGTAATGTTGCAGTAAAGGCAGTAAAGTTGAGAGAGATGCAGCAATACAGACCACACACCTGTGTCTGAGGCCACCTGTATCCTGAATCCCTCTATCCGTGTTAACGGTGCTTTCCATGTCATTTGTACTGTGTTCTCATTTAAAATCTTAAATCTCAAGTCTGAAGGTGGTTCAACTGCGAAAAGAAAAAGTAGCCAATGTTAATTCCAGCATTTGCTAAATAAGTGTATATATAATCAAACACAAGGTGTAGGTAGCTCATATCCCAACGATTAACACTTCAAGGTTGAAGTTATCCTGTTCATTGTTGGGGCAAACAGCAAGAGGTGACAATAACGACAACAGACATAACATTTGAGACTCGAGCAGCCATTTTGGAGAAAAATGACATTCGTTTGAGCTGTCCGGCCATGTTTGTCCGAACACAGTCAACAACTCAAGCACATATAGTGGCGAGACGACAAAAGGTGGCAAGAAAATATCCAAGGGCACAATTTATTTTTATTTTTATACATTGACCAACTAACATCTTGCATGCTGATAAGGTCAACCCAACTCATGCCTAAACTGAGTCGACCGACAAAAACATACACCTTCCATAAAACTTGTGGCATTGATTTTACAATGGAGTCTTCTCATACCTTGTATACCATGGTTGTGTAAAGGCCTGCATGCAGACATACATAGACTTCAGTACATTGTTTCTTTTGATTGACCCATGTGTATGACTCCCATCCATTGCAAACCTCTTAAAAGAATACACAATGTGCTTTAAGACGCTTGTGTACATCTTTTCCAACCTCTCTAGTACTAAGTAGTGAGAATCCACAATGGATTTATTTAATTTTAAAACAAATCAAATAGACAAGCCAAACAAACCATAAATGTGATTGGTCACAGTGAATGGACTGTCTGAAGATCATGCACTTGTACATGAAAAGTTGTTTGTAACAACTTATGGAACCGGACAAAAGTTTCCATGTACAAGACGGACCAGAGAACATATTTGAGAAATATTTTTAAATGATATTCGTCTGTTTGGGGGATGGGGTAAATTAACGTTATTTTGTCATAATAGCCTAAGAGTGTTATAAAGAGTAAAGTCTTAAGCAGCCTATATTATAATAACAGAATGTCTAAAAAGAACGTCTAAAACCACAAGTAAAGTAAATAAGACTACCGTATGTGTAGTGGTTAACGGTGATGAATTATGAAATCTGCTTGTTGATTAACTTTAACAAGATAGTCTATCAGTGCATAGAGGTGCATATCAGGGTTAGTATAGGATTATAGTCTATATGGGTATTTTAAATAGGGAAGCCTGTAGGGATCAAGAATATCATTCTAAAATATTGTTGAAAAGCCATGTCTCGGGACAAATTGAATGCAAAGTTGCATAGCAATTGACCTGAGTGAAGCTTGTCCAGTACAGGATATCAAAAATGAGAACCACCAACCTGGCAGATCAACTCAAGGGCCATGGTCTGCTCCTTCTCTGTTTCCAAATGGGCCCATCATAACTATATAGTACTACTCACATTGTCCTCCTTAAGAAGTTCTTAATTAAAACACTTATGAACACAAACTCACACACACATACCACAAGCAAGCGCACGCAAGTCCTGCAGGCTCTAGTTTTGTCTTATCTTGATTATTGTCCAGTCGTGTGTTAGAGTGCTGCAAGGAAAGACCTAGTTAAGCTGCAGCTGGCCCAGAACAGAGTGGCACGTCTTGCTCTTCATTGTAATCAGAGGGCTAATATTAGTATTATGCATGCCAGTCTCTCTTGGCTAAGAGTTGAGGAGAGGCTGACTGCATCACTTCCTTTTACAAGAAACATTAATGTGTTGAAAATTCCTAATTGTTTGCACAGTCAACTTACACACAGCTCTGACACACTTACCCCACCAGACATGCCACCAGGGGTCTTTTCACAGTCCCCAAATCCAGAACAAATTCAAGAACGCATACAGTATTATATAGAGCCATTATTGCATGGAACTCCCTTCCATCTCATATTGCTCAAATGAACAGCAAACCTGGTTTAAAAAAACAGATAAAGCAACAACTCACGGCACAATGCCTTTCCCCTATTTGACCTAGATAGTTTGTGTGTATGTATTGATATGTAGGCTACGTGTGCCTTTTTTTTATTTATGTAGTTCTGTCCTCGAGCTGTTCTTGTCTATTAATGTTCTGTATTATGTCATGTTTCATATTTTGTGTGGACCCCAGGAAGAGTAGCTGCTGCTTTCGCAACAGCTTATGGGGATCCTAATAAAACACCAAAAAATACCAAATACCCACACACAACACACACACATCATCTCAATGATGAGCGAAAAGTTCATGGTCACACTTTATTTGGATTGTCCAAACAGTCCATCAACAGATTATTTGTTGATGAACAACTGTTTGCCAAGTTTACGGTTAGGGTTAGAATACGGGTTAGGGTAAGGATTAAGGTTAGGGTTAGGTTTAGGATAAGGGTTAGGGTAAGGATTAAGGTTAGGGTTAGGTTTAGAATAAGGTTTAGGGTAAGGATTAAGGTTAGGGTTAGGTTTAGGATAAGGGTTAGGATAAGGATTAAGGTTAGGGTTAGGTTTAGAATAAGGTTTAGGGTAAGGATTAAGGTTAGGGTTAGGTTTAGAACAAGGGTTAGGGTAAGGATTAAGGTTAGGGTTAGGTTTAGAATAAGGTTTAGGGTAAGGATTAAGGTTAGGGTTAGGTTTAGGATAAGGGTTAAGGTAAGGATTAAGGTTAGGGTTAGGTTTAGGATAAGGTTTAGGGTAAGGATTAAGGTTAGGGTTAGGTTTAGAATAAGGTTTAGGGTAAGGATTAAGGTTAGGGTTAGGTTTAGAACAAGGGTTAGGGTAAGGATTAAGGTTAGGGTTAGGATAAGGGTTAGTAGAGACTTTAAATGTTACTGATAGTCTGTAGAGCATCTACAGATGGACTATCCAAATAAAGTGTTACCAAGTTCATGTCAATGATAAGATAAAAAGTGTTTTAGTTTTGTTGCTGTTATGACTCTTTCTCTTCATGTATGGTTTCTCCAAGTAGGTCAAGATTTTGGAACATACCAAAAGAGAGGCCTTCTCTTAAAAAGTATGATATGCTAACAGAATATTTTACATTTTATAGTCTGATTGACCTCTGTAATCTGCAGTCTATATGGTCTCGGGAGCTTCAGAAGAATGTTCTTTCTCAGTCTAACAGTTTCTGGAAAATAATGTTAGAGACACTCATATTTTCTCTTTCCGTTTCATCAGAGAAAAAAAGAACACGAGAAGGACAATTGGCTTCAAGCCACGTTTGTCTCCAAATTAAAGTGGAGACATACAATCGAGTTCTCGGTTAATTTGGAAAAATTGTTACATCATGGTTATAGCTTATCTATACATCACTTATGGGTAAAACATTTTTTACCTAGTTCCTCTATCATGACCTAGTTCCTCTATCATGACCTAGTTCCTTTATCATGACCTAGTTCCTCTATCATGACCTAGTTCCTTTATCATTACCTAGTTCCTTTATCATGACCTAGTTCCTTTATCATGACCTAGTTCCTCTATCATGACCTAGTTCCTTTATCATTACCTAGTTCCTCTATCATGACCTAGTTCCTTTATCATGACCTAGTTCCTTTATCATGACCTAGTTCCTTTATCATGACCTAGTTCCTTTATCAGTGCCTAGTTCCTTTATCAGTGCCTAGTTCCTTTATCAGTGCCTAGTTCCTTTATCATTACCTAGTTTCATTATCATTGCCTAGTTTCTTTATCATTACCTAGTTCCTGTATCATTACCTAGTTATTTTATCATTGCCTAGTTCCTTTATCATTACCTAGTTCCATTATCGTTAACTACTTCCTTTATCATTACCTTGTTCCTTTAGGCTACTTCATTTTAGTACAGCTGAAATTCTTCCCTTCCCCAGAGAGGTACTGTAGGCATACTAGAGAAACTAAGACAGAAATTCCTATTAAAAATATCAAGCAAGTGCCCCTCCTAGCGTAAGAAAGACTTCACTGCAACTATCCATGCTTAGGTGAGTCGGCCTGTCACTAATTTCCAGACCACTATGATGGGGCCTGTTCCACTTTGAACTTATAGATTTTAATTTTTTATTTTAAACGCACTTTTTGATTGGAAAATATTATTTTGCATTCCTCAAACTGTTTCAATATCCTACCCTAAACTACTTGTTTGAGTCAATTCAACCTGTCACAATGAATAGACAGACAAAATGTGTTCAAACGACATTTGAAATAGCCAACCTATACAAACACAACAAAAATACAAGAATCCATAGGCCTACCGATGAATCCATAGGTCTACCGACGAAATAGGCCTATAGGCCTACATGAGATACAAATAATGTAGACATTTCTTTCAGCAAACATTTATTAATAAAATAAAATAAAATGTATTGGTGAAAGTATTTAGCTCTTCATTTCACCATGAAGAGCTAAAGAACCGAGACCATTAGCTACAGTCAGAGAAAGAGAGATGGGGGGAGAACGAGAGAGAGAGAGAGAGAGAGAGAGAGAGAGAGAGAGAGAGAGAGAGAGAGAGAGAGAGAGAGAGAGAGAGAGAGAGAGAGAGAGAGAGAGAGACGGGGAGTCTGCACATTTTCATTCAGTTGTGTTTAATTAACAGTAGAAAGAATTGGAGGTGAGGAGGAAAGAAAGGATGGCGGATGAGGGATAACTTTACCTTGGGCCTCGACGGAGGATAGTAGTACTGCAAGGAAGGCAGCCGCTGCCAGAGACAGCCTTATCTTCATTTTGACTCTCTTTATCTCTCTGGTTCAGCAGAACATGAATGAGGCTACAAAGGGAACGGGCAATTACGCATGCATCTCAGCAATGCTCCATCATTCCATATTGTAACTTTACCACTAGCATCAAACATTGAAATGTCATTTAATCCCAAATAAACTATAGATGTGTCATATAGCTAGTGCATTCAAAGACAAGGGAAAGACAATTGAACATCTAAACGGCATTGTCTTATCATATTGTTCCAACTTAAACAGGCATTAAACAAATCGTTAAAAATAATCACTATCAACTTTTAATGCAAAGCTGCAAATCGAAAATGGTCTCTTCTACACTTTTCTATGGGATAAGCGCCCTTCCTGCAGTAGCCTATCTGATCAAAAAGGGTGTCCCCGTTGAGTCAAGACTTGCCTTGAAGAATGCGTTAGAATTGATGGAGATGGGAGTAGGCTAGAGCATGACTCAAAAGCTATAAACTATCTAACATGTACAAACTATATGAAAACCCCACCCGTGCCATTCAGGTGTCTCCAAGCACAAAATCCAGATGCAGGCTATATTTTAATGGCCATAACTCTGCTGCTGATAGAGCAATCGATTCTAAAAACTTGACCGTCATTATCAAGCATTGCATATTAATAGAAGTGCAATATCGAACACTACCAGTCCTAAGTGATAAATGTTTCCTTTCTTCTCAAATTAAATTCTAATTTACATCACACATTAGGAATTAACCTGCATGTTCAAACCGCGAAGAATATTCCAACACCGACCTATGCCCAATGCCCATGAGTCCAAGGCGCACAGCATTTATGTCATGGTTGACAGGCTACAATTATGGGCAATAATTAATTTCAAACCAACTTAACACAAAGACACATTAACACAAACGAACAATAGGCAAATAATAACAATTCTGCGCACAATATTGGGATAGCCTACTTCCCTGGTCTCCAGATGAGCATAACTCATCTCACTTTACCTCTCAGATAGCCTAAACAGTAGTCCAACCCATAATTCCATATTCAGTTAATTCATTACTGACCTGTGGAAATGAAGTTGTGTTGTCCCTCGTTTGATTTCAGAATACAAAAACAGTAAAGCCTCTTTGGATATGACCCTTCTGGTAATGATGGATAAAGGTTTAACCGGAGGAGAATCAATAGCCTAAGCACAGACGAAAACTCAGTTCTCCTCTTGCGGAGGTCCCAGATCAGAAGCCTTTTTCCAAGTGGGAAGACTCTCTACACAATCTGCTACTTAATAGGGGGCTGTTCCCAACTCTCCCTTTACTATCGTAAGCTCTTACGACACTCAGCAAGCGTGGAACCCTGCCACGGATTGATAAATGCAGCCTCTCAACGTGTGGGGATATACATTTGGAAACTTAGCATAGTTTTCTGCATTCCTTTGCAATGATGCTTCTCGATGTGCTCTATCCACAAGTCCATAGCATCTGCGTTTGGAAACCAGGAGATGTGCTGTTACTGGCAGCTGTTTAGCCGGTTTTTTTAGACAATGGAACAATAGAAAAATCTTCAACAGTCCATTTATTCAGTGACCGACTTAAGAATCCGTAGGCCTAACTATGTCCTTTTAATTTAATGGGATTTATGTCAGTAGATAAATATTTATAAACGTATTGTTATGTTATTGAAGTATTTAATAGGTCTTTGGATTCCACTCAGAAAATGTAAATACATTCTTAACACAGTATAATCATAATTATACAGGCAAGGCACGAGGAAAGGGTGATGCTTTCTGTCCTGATTCCTTCTTCAAAGTTAAATAAAAAGTTAATCCATAAACCTATAAACTGAAATGGCAAAACCGAGATAAAACAGTCATTTTGGCCTGCCTATTGAAAATAGGCCATTGGAGCAGCCTAATCCATCCTCATCTATCAAATACGTAGGCTATAGATTATAGCCCTACAGATCATTTGAAAGAAGAAAAACAGTTTTAACTGAACTTTTATTCATAAAACGTGTTAATTAAATGAAAAACAGAGATAAAAATCACGTCAACTTTTTCAGATGACAGAATTCAGTTTACTGAGCATCCGCCTATCATGTGAGACCCAATCAATTCCCTTGAAGACATAGCCCTCTAGTGGCCCAAGAGGCAGAACGCGTATGAGAAAGTCCTGCATCGCTGGTTCCTTGAGCATTAGGCCTAGTTCATTCAGATAAAGCTGGGTTAAAAAAACGTTACAAACATTTCCACAAATGTCTGATGACTAAAATGGACACTTTTTATGAGCTATACACGTTGTAAGATGTGCACGCATAGCGTATCAAATCACCAACAAAAAAGTAAACAATATTGAGTAAATTGCATCTCATTACATTTTCCCATGATCTAGATTTCTGTGTAGAGTTCAAGAGACATTCCAAAATAGGAGCGTCATATTCTAATCGTAGATATACTAATTTCTTAACAAAGTATAATTTGATGACAACATTAAGACTGCCCTTGGCTTAATGTGTCCTCCTTGGTTTCTAATAATAAGGTACTAATCTCCTTTAAAGCCAGTCTGTGCAAAAGTGGGGAATGCGTGGTCACATATAGAATATAAATTACATTGTATTACTACTGCAAACACCAGTGTTTTTCCCATTGTAATGTTAAAATAACCATTGGAACTGGAGCTTAATGGTACTCTTTGATGGTGTTTATAATGAGATCTGTTGTGGTCAAAAGTTTTGAAAATGACACAAATACTAATTTTTTACATTTTCAGTCATTTAGCAGACACTCTAATCCAGAGCGATTTACAGTTAGTGAGTGCATACATTTTCATACTGGCCCCCGGTGGGAATCGAACCCACAACCCTGGCGTTGCAAGCGCTATGCTCTACCAACTGAGCTACAAAGGAGGCTGCCTCAGCCCGCTGCCTCAGTTTTGATAATGGCAATTTGCATATACTCCAGAATGTCATGAAGAGTGATCAGATTAATTGCAATTAATTGCAAAGTCCCTCTTTGCCATGAAAATAAACGTAATCCCCAAAAAACATGTCCACTGCATTTCAGCCCCGCCACAAAAGGACCAGCTGACATCATGTCATTGATTCTCTCGTTAACACAGGTGAGAGTGTTGAAGAGGACAATGCTGGAGATCACTCTGTCATGCTGATTGAGTTAGAATAACAGACTGGAAGCTTTAAAAGGAGGGTGGTGCTTGAAATCATTGTTCTTCCTCTGTTAATCATGGTTACCTGCAAGGAAACACGTGCCGTCATCATTGCTTTGCATAAAAAGGGCTTCACAGGCAAGGATATTGCTGCTAGTAAGATTGCACCTAAATCAACCATTTATCGGATCATCAAGAACTTCAAGGAGAGAGGTTCAATTGTTGTGAAGAAGGCGTCAGGACGCCCAAGAAAGTCCAGCAAGCGCCAGGACCGTCTCCTAAAGTTGATTCAGCTGTGGGATCGGGGCACCACCAGTACAGAGCTTGCCCAGGAATGGCAGCAGGCAGGTGTGAGTGCATCTGCACACACAGTGAGGCAAATACTTTTTGGAGGATGGCCTGGTGTCAAGAAGGGCAGCAAAGAAGCCACTTCTCTCCAGGAAAGACATCAGGGACAGACTGATATTCTGAAAAAGGTACAGGGATTGGACTGCTGAGGACTGGGGTAAAGTCATTTTCTCTGATGAATCCCCTTTCCGATTGTTTGGGGCATCCGGAAAACACCTTGTCCGGAGAAGACAAGGTGAGCGCTACCATCAGTCCTGTGTCATGCCAACAGTAAAGCATCCTGAGACCATTAATGTGTGGGGTTGCTTCTCAGCCAAGGGAGTTGGCTCACTCACAATTTTGCCTAAGAACACAGCCATGAGTAAAGAATTGTACCAACACATCCTCCGAGTGCAACTTCTCCCAACCATCCAAGAACAGTTTGGTGATGAACAATGCCTTTTCCAGCATGATGGAGCACCTTGCCATAAGGCAAAAGTGATAACTAAGTGGCTTGGGGAACAAAACATCGCCATTTTGGGTCCATGGCCAGGAAACTCCCCAGACCTTAATCCCATTGAGAACTTGTGGTCGATCCTCAAGAGACAGGTGGACAAACAAAAACCCACATATTCTGACAAACTCCAAGCATTGATTATGCAAGAATGTGCTGCCATCAGTCAGGATGTGGCCCATAAGTTAATTGACAGCATGCCAGGGCGGTTTGCAGAGGTCTTGAAAAAGGGTCAAAACTGCAAATATTGACTCTTTGCATAAACTTAATATAATTGTCAATAAAAGCCTTTGACACATATGGAATGCTTGTAATTATACTTCAGTATACCATAGTAACATCTGACAAAAATATCTCAACACTGAAGCAGCGAACTTTGTGAAGACCAATACTTGTGTCATTCTCAAAACTGTATGTATATCAATTCAGGAATCTAGTAAAGACTAGATTCATTTCCATTTACAGCACTTAACAGGTTTCCATCTAATCGTTTAATGCTAAAGTAGCCTACATGTCGGATAAAAAATGTAATGACAAGCCTGATGGAAACAGAAGAATTTAAACTTTCCAAATGTCGACAAAACTAAATACGCTAGACAAGGTTGGATCTTTTTTTGTCGATAAAATGAATTATGTTGGTGGAAACGCTTTTATGCGCAAATATGTATATAATAACCACCATATCGACGTAAACTTGGAGTCACGCGATAACATGTTGTGTGGTCCACTATGATTCCTCGAGAAACCATGCAGTTTATTAGGCTACAGATGAAATAAAGTTCACAGGGTGGTGAAGTCTTATTCTGGTGACATGATAATCGAGGTTTGGCTGCCGTTTGAAAAATGAAAATTATCTCGCTCTTTTGTCCATAATAATAATAATCTCATTATGCAGTCTATACCTGCGCTCTAGCCGACAGCGCGCAGATAGGGCTGTTGAGAGAGCACGCGCCAATACCAGAGCTATTTAACAAAAAAAATTGTGAGAGAACCATCAGTAGATTTGAAAATGCGATGGGAGCCCATTTAACTTGTATATTTTATTCAGTAGACGGGAAATTAAACGCATTAGGTATTTTTATGTGCAATAAGTCATCACGCAACACGTTAATTTGATGGAAACACATATCTGCTAATCATTCCCATCATGAGAATGTAATTAGTAGCAAACCAGACATGAACAAGATTAGCTATGTTTCCATTAACTTGTCCAGGGATTTTTTGTCGACATTTGGAAAGTACGCATGGAAAATATTGCCTGGTAGGGTGCGTCGCCATTTAACTATCTTGTGTCGATAAAAACAGCTGGACGTAATGACGTCACACCCCGTAATGACGACACGGTCCCTCCCTACCTTCAAGCTCACAAATTGTTTATTCAGTTTAGTTTAAGGACACAACATAACAAATGTCAGTCACGCTGCGGGTGGCCATCCTATGTCCTCCGACCACAGAACAAATGCCATCACTTTCTGTTCATTTCCCTATGTTTCTACATGTTGAATCACCACGGTTCGTCGCCACACAGCTGGTGATCTACTTCACAAAGCCGCACACGGCCAACAATCGTTTTTTTATATATATCTTTTTTTTTACATTTTAGTCATTTAGCAGACGCTCTTATCCAGAGCGACTTACAGTTAGTGAGTGCATACATTTTAATACTGGTCCCCCGTGGGAAACGAACCCACAACCCTGGCTATGGTGTGTACTGTACTTAAAATATACATTTACACACATACAAAATGAAGGACTAATGACACTTTGTTATGAGAGGCATATTTAATCATCCTCAGTTACCATAAATAAATATTGATCCCATGAACATGAAACAGAAACCCTAACCCTGTGGACATGGAGACAACGTTTTACAACTAACAGGGTGTCATGTAGAACAAGTGAGCCCAGGAGCTGGAGTCACTCCTTCTTGAGGAAAGCTGCACAAACCAGTTCATATATGACATATTTTGTATTACATTTTTTTATTTAACTAGTTAAGTCAGCTAAGAACAAATTATTATTTACAATAACGTCCTACCCCGGCCAAACCCGGACGACGCTGGGCCAATCGTGCGCCGCCCTGTGGGAAGCCCAATCACGGCCAGATTGTGATACAGCACTGGAATCGAACCAGGGTCTGCAATGACGCCTCTAGCACTGAGATGCAGTACCTTACACAGCTGCGCCACTTCGCAGATCCTGCAATAGTAATATGAGGTTATTACTAATTAAATAGTCTTATTACGAAGGTATTGAGCAACTTAAAGCGGTAATGTACAACCAGAATAAATCGTGTCTACATGGATTTTTTTTGGCTACTGGAGTAGCCTATTCCATCCTCATCAATTAAATACGTAGGCTATAAGTTATAGCCCTACAGATAATTTGGAAAAATAACAACTTTTTCAACTGAACGTTTTGTTAATAATGAACGTGTTGATGAAAACAGAGATAAGTCACATGTCAACTTTTTCAGACGACAGAATTCAGTTTCCCGACCATCGGCCTATCAAATCAATTCCCTTGAAGACATAGCCCTCTAGCGGCTCAAGAGGAAAAATGCACGTGCAAAATTACTTAATTTTGATAAAATTCGTTTACATTTTTAACTAATATTTCATAAATGTGTGATGACAAAATTGAAACTTTTTATCTGCTATACACAATGTAAGATGTGCACGCATAGCGTTTCAAATCACCAACAAAAAAGTAAACAATATTGAGCAAATTGCATCTCATGACATTTTCCCATGATCTAGTCCGGCTTTCTGTAGGCTAGAGCTCAAGGGACATTCCAAAATAGGAGCGTCATTCTAATCATAGATATACTCATTTCTGTACAATGTATCATTTGATGACAACATTAACACTGCCCTTGGCCTAATGTGCCCTTGGTTTGTAATGATAAGGTACTAATCTTACAGACTAGCTTTAAAGCAGCCAGACTGCAAAAGTGGGGAATGCTTGGTCACATGTAGAAGATAAATTAAATTGTATTACAACTTAAGCAAATACCAAAGTGTTTTACCATTGCAATGTTAAAATAAACCATTGAAATTGGATCTTAATGGTACTCTTTGATGGTGTTTATAATAAGATATGTGTATGTACAGTGCATTCAGAAAGTATTCAGACCCCTTGACCTACTTTATCCACATTTTGTTCCGTTACAGCCTTATTCTAAAATGGATTAAATAGATTTTTCCTCATCTACACATAATACCCCAAAATGACAAAGCAAAAACAGGTTATACATTTTTGCTAATTTATTAAAAACAAAAATATCACATTGACATAAATATTCAGACCCTTTACTCAGTACTTTGTTGAAGCACCTTTGGCAGCGATTACAGCCTTGAGTCTTCTTGGGTATGACGCTACAAGCTTGGCACTCCTGTATTTGGGGAGTTTCCCCCATTCTTCTCTGCAGATCCACGCTCTGTCAGGTTGGATGGGGAGCGTCGCTGCACAGCTATTTTCAGGTCTCTCCAGAGATGTTCGATCGGGTTTAAGTCCGGGCTCTGGCTGGGCCACTCAAGGACATTCAGAGACTTGTCCCGAAGCCACTCCTGTGTTGTCTTGTTGGAAGTTGAACCTTCGCCCCAGTCTGAGGTCCTGTGCGCTCTGGAGCAGGTTTTCATCAAGGATCTCTCTGTACTTTGCTCCATTCCATCTTTCCCTCGATCCTGACTAGTCTCCCAGTCCCTGCCGCTGAAAAACATCCCCACAACCTGATGCTGCCACCACCGTGCTTCACCGTAGGGATGGTGCAAGGTTACATCCAGACGGGACGCTTGGCATTCAGGCCAAAGAGTTCAATCTTGGTTTCATCAGCCCAGAGAATCTTGTTCCTCATGATCTGAGAGTCTTTAGGTGCCTTTTGGCAAACTCCAAGCGGGCTGTCATGTGACTTTTACTGAGGAGTGGCTTCCGTCTGGCCACTCTACCATAAAGGCCTGATTGGTGGAGTGCTGCAGAGATGGTTGTCCTTCTGGAATGTTCTCTCATCTCAACAGAGGAACTCTGGAGCTCTGTCAGAGTGACCATCAGGTTCTTGGTCACCTCCCTGACCAAGGCCTTCTCCCCCAATTGCTCAGTTTGGCCGGGCGGCCAGCTCTAGGAAGAGTCTTGGTGGTTCCAAACTTCTTCCATTTATGAATGATGGAGGCCACTGTGTTCTTGGGGACCTTCAATGCTGCAGACATTTTTTGGTACCCTTCCCCAGATCTGTGCCTCGACACAATTCTGTCTCTGAGCTCTAGGGACAATTCGTTCGACCTCATGGCTTGGTTTTTGCTCTGACATGCACTGTCAACAGTGGGACCTTATATTGACAGGTGTGTGCCTTTCCAAATCATGTCCAATCAATTTAATTTACCACAGGTAAATTGTACAAACATCAAGTTGTAGAAACATCAAGGATGATCAATGGAAACAGAATGTAGCTGAGCTCAATTTTGAGTCTCATAGCAAAGGGTCTGAATACTTATGTAAGTAAGGTATTTCAGTTTATTTTTAATACATTTGCAAACATCTCTAAAAACCTGTTCTCTCTTTTTCATTATGGGGTACTGTGCGTAGATTGAGGGGAAAAAATAATGTAATCAATTTTAGAATAAGGCTCTAACGAAAATTTTGAAAAAGTCAAGGGGTCTGAATACTTTCCGAATGTACTGTATATCCACTCAGGAAACTTCTAAAGAAACTATTAATTTCCATTTACAGCACTGGTAATAATTCCCATAATGACAATCTCATTAGTAGCAAACCAGACATGAACAACATTGTTAAATGGGCAGCAGATTGCCTAGCGGTTAAGAGCGTTGAGCATAATTGAAAGGTTGCTGGTTTGAATCCCTGTGCCCACGAGGTGAATCATCTGTCGATATGCCCTTGAGCAAGGCACTTAACCCTAATTGCTCCTGTATGTGGTGCTGGATAAGAGCGTCTGCTAAATGACCAAACTGTTAACATCTTTCTACCTCTGCCGTTGAGACAACCAGATGTAGGCTACCACCAACATTCCTCTATATACAGTCTACACTGGTGTTCCCCAACTGGCAGCCCATGGGCCAAATATGTCCCGCACGGTTTAATTTTGGTCCCACAAATTGAGCTAAATATTTTAATTGTTGGACAAAAAAACAAACATTAAAAGCACCAGGAAAACACCTCCAAATTATTTTAATTTTGGAAATCTCTTCCCAAGTAGTCCCACGCATAAACAGATGTGATCGTATACAAATGTAAGCAAGGTTTGAAATGATTGTTTTAGTCAAATAATATATATTATTTGACTGCTTACATCTTCTGTTCGTTTCCAGACGATTCTACATGTTGAATCACCACCATTCATCGCCACACAACAGGTGATCTACTTCACACAGCAGCACACAGCCAACGTTCGTTATGGTGTGCCCCTTACTTAAAATATACATTTACACACATACAAAAAGAAGGACTAATGACACTTCATTATGAGAGGCATATTTAATCATCCTCAGTTACCATAAATAAATAAATATTGATCCCATGAACATGAAACAGAAACCATTATGACAGGACAAATCAACCCCCTGAGGACATGGAGACAACTTTTTACAACTAACAGGGTGTTTTGTAGCACACGTCAGCCCAGGAGCTGGAGTCACTCCTTCTTCTTAGGGAAAGCTGCACAAACCAGTTCATATATGACATATGCAGATCCTGCAATGAAATGTAATATGTTATTACTAATTAAATAAATAGTGTTATTACAAAAAGGTATTGAGCAACAATGTGGTAATGTACAACCAGACTAAACCAAGAACTTGTGTCAACATGGATTGGTTGCCATTGAGTCCATCTGTACTCACCCAGAATAGTGAGTGCCATTGTTGTTCTGTACAGGATAGCATCACTGACACCACCTTTCAAATGAATTGGAATCCCATTGTCCTCCTGGTGAAGAAAAATATACTGTATCAAACTCATGCAATGCACAGCAACATACAGTATAAGCATCATAACAATAACAATGCCTAACCGTGAACTTTAACACCTTCTCACAAAGCATAGGTTGTTGATTCTGCTCATCACAATTCTTTAGTGTCACATTCCTGATAGAAACACATTAACACCAGAGAATACATTAACATAAAACACTGGCGGCCCACTGGTGTGGGGGTAAGTCTCAAGGGAAAAGCACCACTTGAGTGGAAATCGACTTACTTGAATTTATCTTTTCATCTCCTAGTGGAGCAAAGGGCCCCAACGGTGCATCTCCAGAGAACTCTGTTCTGGTTGGTTGAGTGGTTATTAATGCCCTCAAATTGACCATTCTAACCACAGAATGCAACACGTACATTCCAGCAATCACAATGTATTATTTACAGCAAGATCTGCACCGTGTTTTAGAAAGGATTTAAAACAACAGTTTGCACAATCACTTATTGAAAAGCAGCCAATGATGAAGCAGAGGCATCACTCTCCCCTGATCAGTTACCAATGGTAAATTGAATCAGACATGGCTTTCTCATCTATCTCACAACATTGACGCTGTCCCAAATGGCACCCTTTTCCCTATTTAGTACTCTACTTTTGACGAGGGCCCATAGGGCTCTGGTCAAAAGTAGTGCACTATAGATGTAAAGAGAATTGGTTGCCATTTGGGACATATTTATTGACTGTTCTCAGTTTACACACAGCATGCAAAGCAGTAACTCCAACCCAGTGAGCTTCTGTCAATCAGATATACGTATCAGTCAACTATATGTAACTCAGGCTTCATATGAGCGGAACTACAAGTGGGCAGGTGGACATGTCACCAGTCATCAAAACTTAAATATCACATTGTCAACATTGAATTCAAGTTACATTTTCCTTGACATTAAACTAAAATTCGAAGAGTAGGTTTTAACGTCATGTTAAGGACATTGCCTATTGGAGCCGTCAGCCATATAAACCCTGTCAATTACCTGGTAATGCTTCTGCTTCTGTGGGACCTTGTTTTCCACCTGCCTGCGGGCGCTGCTGCTCAGCGTCCGCCGCGACACATGCTGAAGCGCCTGTCATATAACGAAAAAGAGGCATCAATTTCAAGCTCATTGACACTGTACAGTTTGAGATATTTTAAGATCAGCGCTGGATTGGAATAGGTCGCTGTCTATCTGGGTATTTAACCAAGTTCATTTGCCATAAACACAGGTAAAGTATAACACTTTTAGTAGATAGTAAGCTTGCTAACAGTACCGGTAAAATTGCTAGCTAGTAGCCACTACCGGTCATCCCATGACCGCTAAAGGCTAGTGATGCTACCCTCGTATTCTAGCATGCATAAAAACAGTCAGACCGATGCCGTTGAATACAGATATTAACAAAAACGAATCAAAACATTACTAAATCGATATCTTACTTGAATGTGTCGGTACATCTTCTCCCCACGTCAGTCGTAGTACAAGGACACCGGAAGACCACATTTCCGCTAGTTTCTTCTTTGGAGGATTTACTGACGCGTCATAAAAAGATGTGCATACTGCCACATACTGGGCAGGAGTGTGAACTTGTTGAATAACCAAGCGAAGATTAGCTACCGTCTCTGGGCTATAACTGCACCGCCAAGTGTCTCAAGATTCAAACATTATATTAAGTATACATTCACTTTTTCAATTTTGCAACAGAGGGAAAACTCCAACAATTTGCAAATAAAATTCTGGTTAACATGAGTTGTCCAGATATTATTTTATTTGTCAAGCAACAGGCATATAATCTCCAGGTAACAGGTAATTGGGAACTCATGTGCAAACATATTTCACCAATCTGCAACAATCTTAGTAAGAAAATAAATAAGGATGTTCTTCCTGTTTGTGTTCTTGCCTACTCCATTGCCAAGCCAAACATGTTTTACATAACGGGTTTGCAAGAAAGCAGAAACAGACTGGCACCCAGGCTACATGAATGGAGCTTTGGTCCCTGAAAACCTTGAAATTGACAATTTTCCTTTGCGGTATGTTACTTAAACTTGAGTCAAGCTCTGCATATTTTAGGCAGCTGAACAGATTTAACATATATACATACACTGAGAAAATAAGTACTAAAGTACATTGAAAACATTGCAAGCATTCCATTACACTTGACCTGAAAATTTGTGCACATCCTTGTGCAATCTATAGAGACCTATCTGTAGTGTAAACAGAAAAGAAATGTGCCTCAAACTACGGTACTGTATGTAACAACAACAACATACGTGTATGAACCAACAGCCTTGACTCTTGAAGGAATTCCACATTTAGCCTAACGGACTGTTCCAATTTGCTTGACCGTATTCAAACATGATTTTAAATAATTTATTCATAAAGAAGTAAACTAATAAACATCTATGACTGACATACACATATTTCTGCATTAAAACTGTACTATCTGCACATCGATGTAGCGTCATTACATTTCAACATAGTGCCAATACAACATCTTGACATCAAAACTTACGTAACTGCATAGCTTTCTGACCATGAAAAATAAATACGAGAGAACTTCTACTTTATCGGAACTCTCCCCCTGACGTCTTTGCTCTTCCAATACTTGCACAGTACTTTTGACAAGCAGGTCATTCTTACACACAGTACACGAGCCAGACACGAGACCACCAGTGCTTGTAATTAGCCACTGGTTACACCCATGCCTCCGCTAGCCAGCATGCAACATACATACAAGACGTCTTTAGTTAGGGATGTCAGCAGTGTTGTTGCGGCTGCCATATTTGTGGTGGATGATGAGGAGGACCACTCCCAGGAAGAAGCAGACGGAGCCCACAGTGATGTAAGCGATGCCCAAGAAAGGGTTCTTGCCCCCCATCCAGGAGATGGTGCTCAGGATCACACGCTTCCGGCCCTCAAAGCTACGAACAGGATAGTCTAGGATCAACTCATTAAGGAAGACTCATATGCTCAACTTCAGACCCATTTAACATTTGACTTACAAAATAACTCTAGCAACAACGATATTAAAAGGGAGTGGCTCCTGATCCGTGACTGGATCTTGTATTTCTGAGGCTCAGACAGAAAATATATGGTCACGGATCAAGAGCCCACTGCCATCTTAAAAACGTATCATACAATAACAATGTGGACTGATATTATATCATTTGTAGTCTATATTAGTGGAAACAACAAAGAAAGACAGTATTCGTCATCACCCAGCTGGTGATACCTATTGTTATAACAAGTGAAGGAACAGCCCCCTACTGAACACGGCCCAACATCGACCTGGTCTGTCTGAACTATTATGTCAATGACTGTTTTGAACATTCCTATTACATCACAAGCTATCATTCCACAAACCCAAACTTCCTGTACAGCTGTATCATTTGAACAGCTGTCAGTGAAAGGATACTGTAGGTGACTTCCAGGGTGTAGTTGCCACGGGGAAGAGTCGGCGTCATGTTGTTCTTCTTCTGGATAATACGGTACAGCTTACGGAAGGTGGGGAGGGCAGCTGTGCGCATCCACACAATGAAGTCCTCATTGATGAAGCCATTATTCTCAGCGTCTGTGTCTAGTTCATAGACAGGCTTGCGCCAGTTGATCGGCTTGGTTGTACCTGGGTGAGGAAATTATAGTGAGATTCCTAAGAAAAACACAGTGAGATTCCTAGGAAAAACACAGTGAGATTCTTTATCCACTTCAATAGTAACAATACTGCTGAGTGCTTGCTCACCTTGAAAAGCACTTGTGAGGTTGGGGTTGCCTCCTGGATTCCTGAACTTCACATGCTTGTCTGTCCACCAAGCAATCCCCTTCTTCATCAGAGGAATTTGGATTCTTGTGCCATTAGGGTCAATGTAATACAGATCCAAAGTGTCTGTGAGGAAAGAGATCATGAATAAACAGAGCTGCTCTTATTGCAATTCTTGTAATGATGGTCTAAAAAGGACATAACTGTCTTACCGTTAAACATGCTGTTGGCGATGGCACCACAGGGAGCAATTGGCATTTTTTCATTGCGAGCATAGGGCTCACACTCCTTACTAGGGTTCTGTGGACATTGCAAGCAGACATGTAACGTTAGATAATTGCACAGAACATACTGACATCTTGCCAATATGATGGATATGTCAGATAACTGAAGATGTAAAATTGTTGATGATCAGTCAAAAGTCATTGCAGAGATTCAGGAATGCAGTGTGAAAATCATGTTATATTTGGCACGGAACCCTGTTCAAAAGGCATAATATGTACCATTAGAGAGGTGGTGTCACCATTCAGTTGGCTGTCATCCCTGGACTTGACATAGCGCCGGTGATTTTGGTAGAAGTTGGACAGGCCATAATACATGAATACATTGCTCTGTTGAGACAAAATTCAATTCAATGTTCATGATGATCACATTTCAAATTCAGAAACATATACCACCACCAACTGAGAGAACTTGAGACATCATCTACGTCCCAAATGGCCCTTGGCCAAAAGTAGTGCACTACATAGGGCAGTGGTTCCCAACCAGGGGTACTAGGACCCCTGCGGGTACTTAACCTTTCAACAGGGGGTACTTGAGAAGACTGATGAGACCCTAGGCCTACTGGTAAAATGCACAAGGGGGTAATTCAGAGGTACTCCGGGCAGAGCAAAATTCAGTTGGTGGTATAGTAACCGGAAAAGGTTGGTAACCACTGACATAGTGTATAGGTTGCTATTTGGGATGCAGACATCACGCTTCATACTTACTTCAAAAGGCTGTTCCAGAGAGAAGGGCAGTGCACAGGTGCATGGTCTTGTGCTGTTCCAACTAAAGCTCTGGGAGCAGTTGAAGCATGGGCTGGACATGTCAGTCCCAGTATAATCAATCTGTAATGACATGTGTAAATCCAAACAGCATTTCCAAATGGCTGGCAATCTTCTGCTTAACATTATTTCAAATGGTGCACCTGTGACCTGGCATCAAATACAGTACATTAGCCAGCAGATTCCGAGCCTACAGTTACGCTTGTTTACACTGAGCTGCACTGGGGTCGGAATGCAATCATGGTTAGATTAAGTTAAGACACCGGGCCAATCAGCTCCTTTGTAGTTCAACACGTGACATGACATTTCATAATGGCAGCTATGGCTACTGCTAGCTAGCATGAAGACGAAAAGGGCAGTATTTCAATCTTCTCCATATATCAGTTTGGATGTAGGTACAATTTGGATACAGTGGCACATCCCATCCCATCCCTGCATTGAGGTACATTTTCCGACCCATATCTCCAGAAGGCTCCGCAGTGTCTTAATCTAACCATGATTGTGTTCTCACCCCAGTCCAGCTCAGTGAGAACAAGCATAAAGCGGTAGGGTCGGAATCTGTTGCCTACAAATACATATACCCTCGGTCGAATGGCCTTTGTAGGACTTGTTTGTGTTTAGGCTATATTTTCTATTGATACCTATCATCATGAGAAACAACAGGAAGTGTGTAAAAAGTAGCTTTTTTGTTTTTTGGTGGCGGGATTGGGCTTCCTCAGACACCTGTCCCATCCCCCTCCCTAGTACTACAGGTGCCCCATCCCTTCCTCTTGTACTTATTGAGTACAGTAGCCAGCTAGCTAAGGATCCCGGATAGCATGGGCCTTACCTCGAACTCCTTGATGTTGTTTGACGTGACGTAGAGGCCGATACCAATGGGAATGAAGATGAGACCGATAACGAAGAAAGCTGGAAGAACTGTGCCCGCTGTCAGGATGGGTTGCCAAGCAGGTAATCGTTGTTGTTTAAACGCTGTGTTATCGGGCTTTTTATTCTGGATGGTCCCACCGCCAGGTACGGCGACGTGACCGTCTTCTTCCTTCGCGTTGTAGCTCGACGCCATTATGGCTTCTATTCTAAAATAAAACAACCTGCAGTGGCAGCTATTATAGCGAGTCTCCCTGAAGCTGAAGAAGCTAACGATTTAGCCGAGACAAGTATGAGAACGCTCTGATAAATAAGGTATAATTGTGCTAGTTTTCTATAGGTTATTTCGCAAGATCACTCATTTTAATGAAAAATAGCTAACCCAGCGTTACGAACAGCCAAGTCAGGAAGTGTTTTCATTTTTACATACGTGATGACATCATCAAATATGATGAACGTTTCACCAGTGACACAATCTGATCATTCAATATCATAAACTTTAGCTAATATCTTTGGAGATAATTTCAAAGCCAATAATATAATTGTAATTCTAATTAATTTAATAATATATGTTTTTGTTTTTCCAAATAAATTGATGTTGAACATTCTCGTGACCTGAATTGACCAAAACCATGGTCTTGATTTGTCTACTTGGAGATCCAATGATGAATTCTCAAATAATGACAAACAACCATTTGAATATTCAGTTTATTGAGGCAAACAAATAACCAGCTGATATAGCATACATAGGTCATCCTTGGACAACTGTGCCTGATTACCTGGATTGATATCATAAATTACCTTTTAGGGCATATTATCTAGACTGTGTGTATGCTATCAAAGGCACACAATGCTCTGTTATCCATGTAGTTCACTTTTAAAAAATACACCCTATTGCCATGGTCAACTGATGGTGTACTGTAGCATGTTTTTATCTGCTTTATAGTAATGCATAGGCTATTAATCCAATCTTAGTCTCTTAATAATACAAATAATTTGGTGGGTGCTTATATTTGTCCTATTTTACACATGTACAAGTGTGTATTAATACGCATGTGTGAATTGGAATTGTGTTTTTTGCAGATCCCAACTCTCCCTGAGACACCCTCGGAGAGTGGGGTCAAAGCCAGGGTCTCTTTTCACAGACGCCATGCGCCATGAGTCTGGCAAACCGAGACTGATTCTAGCAAGTGATGAACTCATCATATAGGTCAGTCTAACATAGACAATGTTAGGGTAGGCGGTGTTTTTCTGCATTTTTTTTTTTTTTTACATCTAGAATTATTTAGCAAAATTCCTATCATGCTTCTAAGAATTGTGATAAAAACACAGTGCACTCCAGATCTGAGGTTAGCCATTCGATAATCTTGAAGTGGCTTTTTTAGGTTATCCTCATACACACAAAATAGTGGGAATAAACATGTTACTGTATACAGTGAGGGAAAAAAGTATTTGATCCCCTGCTGATTTTGTACGTTTGCCTACTGACAAAGACATGATCAGTCTATAATTTTAATGGTAGGTTTATTTGAACAGTGAGAGACAGAATAACAACAAAAAATCCAGAAAAACGCATGTCAAAAATGTTATAAATTGATTTGCATTTTAATGAGGGAAATAAGTATTTGACCCCTCTGCAAAACATGACTTAGTACTTGGTGGCAAAACCCTTGTTGGCAATCACAGAGGTCAGACGTTTCTTGTAGTTGGCCAGCAGGTTTGCACACATCTCAGGAGGGATTTTGTTCCACTCCTCTTTGCAGATCTTCTCCAAGTCATTAAGGTTTCGAGGCTGACATTTGGCAACTCGAACCTTCAGCTCCCTCCACAGATTTTCTATGGGATTAAGGTCTGGAGACTGGCTAGGCCACTCCAGGACCTTAATGTGCTTCTTCTTGAGCCACTCCTTTGTTGCCTTGGCCGTGTGTTTTGGGTCATTGTAATGCTGGAATACCCATCCACAACCCATTTTCAATGCCCTGGGTGAGGGAAGGAGGTTCTCACCCAAGATTTGAAGGTACATGGCCCCGTCCATCGTCCCTTTGATGCAGTGAAGTTGTCCTGTCCCCTTAGCAGAAAAACACCCTCAAAGCATAATGTTTCCACCTCCATGTTTGATGGTGTGGATGGTGATCTTGGGGTCATAGGCAGCATTCCTCCTCCTCCAAACACGGCGAGTTGAGTTGATGCCAAAGAGCTCCATTTTGGTCTCATCTGACCACAACACTTTCACCCAGTTCTCCTCTGAATCATTCAGATGTTCATTGGCAAAATTCAGAAGGGCATGTATATGTGCTTTCTTGAGCAGGGGGACCTTGCGGGTGCTGCAGGATTTCAGTCCTTCACGGCGTAGTGTGTTACCAATTGTTTTCTTGGTGACTATGGTCCCAGCTGCCTTGAGATCATTGACAAGATCCTCCCGTGTAGTTCTGGGCTGATTCCTCACCATTCTCATGATCATTGCAACTCCACGAGGTAAAATCTTGCATGGAGCCCCAGGCCGAGGGAGATTGACAGTTCTTTTGTGTTTCTTCCATTTGCGAATAATCGCACCAACTGTTGTCACCTTCTCACCAAGCTGCTTGGCGATGGTCTTGTAGCCCATTCCAGCCTTGTGTAGGTCTACAATCTTGTCCCTGACATCCTTGGAGAGCTCTTTGGTCTTGGCCATGATGGAGAGTTTGGAATCTGATTGATTGATTGCTTCTGTGGACAGGTGTCTTTTATACAGGTAAAAAAAACGGAGATTAGGAGCACTCCCTTTAAGAGTGTGCTCCTAATCTCAGCTCGTTACCTGTATAAAAGACACCTGGGAGCCAGAAATCTTTCTGATTGAGAGGGGGTCAAATACTTATTTCCCTCATTAAAATGCTAATCAATTTATAAAAAATTTTACATGCGTTTTTCTGGATTTTTTGTTGTTATTCTCTCTCTCTCACTGTTCAAATAAACCTACCATTAAAATTATACACTGATAATTTCTTCGTCAGTGGGCAAACATACAAAATCAGCAGGGGATCAAATACTTTTTTCCCTCTCTGTACATTTGGTGTGACCAGTATTGTGTTTCTATCACACATACAGTATATAGTGTACACTGAACAAAAATTTAAATGCAACATGCAACAATTAAAATATTTTACTGAGTTACAGTTCATATAAGGAAAGCAGTCAGTTGAAATGAATTAATTAGGTCCAATTAATCTATGGATTTCACATGACTGGGAATACACAGATACTTTAAAAAAATACACAGATACCTTTAAAAATACACAGATACCTTTAAAAATAAAGGTATTGGCAGGATCAGAAAACCAGTCAGTATCTGGTGTGACCACCGTTTGTCTCATGCAGCGCAACACATCTCCTTCGCATAGAGTTGATCAGAATGTTGATTGTGGAATGTTGTCCCACTCCTCTTCAATGGCTGTGCAATGTTGCTGGATATTGGCGGGAACTGGAACACGCTGTCGTACATGTTAATCCAGAGCATCCCAAACATGCTCAATTGGTGACATGTCTGGTGAGTATGCAGGCCATGGAAGAACTGCAACATTTTCAGCTTCCAGGAATTGTGTACAGATCCTTGCGACATGGGGCTGCGCATTACCATGCTGAAACATGAGGTGATGGCGACGGATGAATGGCACGACAATGGGCCTCAGGTACTTGACACAGTATCTGAATTGTGTTCGTTGTCCGTAGCTTATGCCTGCCCATGCCATAACCCCACCGCCACCATGGGGCACTCTGTTCACAACGTTAACATCAGCAAACCCCTCGCCCACACGATGCCATACACACTGTCTGCCATCTGCCCAGTACAGTTGAAACCGGGATTGATCCGTGAAGAGCACACTGCCAGTGGCCATCGATGGTGAGCATTTGCCCACTGAAGTCGGTTACGACGCTGAACTTTAGTCAGGTCAAGTCCCTGGTGAGGACAACGAGCACGCAGATGAGATGGTTTCTGACAGTTTGTGCAGAAATTCTTCGGTTGTGCAAACCCACAGTTTCATCAGCTGTCCGGGTGGCTGGTCTCAGATGATCCCGCAGGTGAATAAGCTGGATATGGAGGTCCTGGGCTGGACGTGGTTACATGTGGTCTGTGGTTGTGAGGCCGGTTGGATGTACTGCCAAATTCTCTAAAACGACGTTGGAGGCGGCTTATTGTAGAGAAATGAACATACATTTATCTGACAACAGCTGTGGTGGACATTCCTACAGTCAGCATGCCAATTGCATGCTCCCTCAAAACTTGAAACATCTGTGGCATTGTGTTGTGTGACAAAACTGCACATTTTAGAGTGGCATTTTATTGTCCCCAGCACAATGCTGCACCTGTGTAATGATCATGCTGTTTAATTAGCTTCTTGGATGGAATATCTTGGCAAAGGAGAAATGCTCACTAACAGGGATGTAAACACATTAGTGCACAATAAGCTTTTTGTGCATATGGAACATTTCTTGGATCTTTTATTTCAGTTCATGAAACATGGGACCAAAACTTTACATGTTGCGTTTATATTTTTGTTCAGTACATTTCCCCCATTGTACATCATCCTGTTAAATTGTTTCTCTAATTTGTTTTTATTCATCAATCTCTACACATAGTTATAATGTAGCTTATTATATAGCTTATGAAGCGTTTATAGTATAGTCTATCGTGTTTAGCTCCTGTGTACATACTGTATGTGGATTGTGTAAATTCTGCGTCTGTATTTTTTGTCTGTATTTTTTGTCTGTCCATTTATTTACTGTCTGTAACTCTGTAGCAGCACCATTTCACCGAGTCAAATTCCTGTACATGGAAATGTATTTGGCGAATAAAGGTGATTCTTCTTTAGCACTGCTGTGAATATCTATCAACACCATCACAATAAAATATCTGTCTTCTAAACAAATAACTGACCCACTGCCCCTCCTCAGGGATGTTAGCTTAGGCATCTGGGAGATTCACTTCTTACTCTTCTTAAGTGAATCTTAGCCATGTATCGTTCCTCACATACAAACCGCTGCAGAGTTAGCTCTGATCCAGGGTGTTACGTGTGGCTTGAGTCAAGCCTTCCATTGAAGAAGGGTCAAGCCACACGTAACACCCTGGACCAAAGCTACTGTAGAGTACACTTTGCATACCTCCTAAACAACTCCATGTGGCCCTACTTCGCAAAGTGTGATGTAAGCCAGAATCCAGTGGTAATGCTATCAGAAAACCCACAGAATTGAAAATAGAGCCTTGTTAGGTGCTCCCGAGGTTAGAAATCATCTCCATGACAGTCTGCTAAGTGCTGACTGTCTATTTGCTGATCGTTGTTTGACAGTTGGCCATATGGTTGCAGTGCAGGCCACTTGTCAGAGAAGGTGAAGGAAGTTCCACATCACTGTCTCATCTGGGCTCAACTATCACATGGTGCACAACATTTCCT